TGAAAGCGATGAATTTGGCTCCATAATTATGGATGGCATCAGATTATCAGAATCTTCTGCTGACTTTAAAGGCGTGAAAAGTTCCAAAGATTAAATATTCCTGTGAATGGCTTAATTCTAGACTTGATCTTCAAACCAAATATTAGGAGCCGTGCTCCAGCCAAAAAATGTTCCTTCACGAGCATCTTGTTGAACAGTAAATTAGCTGCTGGAATGATTTCCGAAACTATTAACATTGCTGATGCTATAAGAGCTGCGAAGGTTAGCACATCTCTTCATCATTTGGAAAGTCCGGACAAAAATCTAAAAGCTTTTGAGGGTTTAGGCTTGGAGGTTGGATTTCTACGTGCACGGCTATATGAGCTTGTAAGCCTTTCACGAGAATATCCCGAGTGATTATTGAATCGAAAAAACATGAATGCGCTAAAGCAAAAGAAGATATTTGAGATCTTGAAGCGAAATTTTTGAAGGTTAAATGGCAAATGAAAATTTTAAAGGATGAGATTGAGGCCCTGAAAATGACGAGAAGCTGACCACAACATTTAAGGAGATTGCAGCATCAATGGCATTAATTTTGTTGAGGTGTACCATTTCTATCATATATGATTGGGGTAGAAGTTGTAAACAGTGAAAATATCTTCATATCCCTGATACAGCCTAATGTAGTTCTTTAATGTTGTAACTTCTAGTTCATATGGATTAGAGAAACGAGTAGAATTTGTTCATATGATTTAGAGAAGAAATGAGAAGAATTTGTTCATATGAATTAGACAAATGAGTAGAACTAGAATGCACTAAGGTTGGTGTGCTTTTGTGTATGTTATGTTACCTATTCTCGGAGAATATATATTTTGTAGGGCATGTATGGATAGTAAGTACATGCATGTGTACTTTCAGGTTTCGTGTTTAAGGTTTATAATTTCCAAAAAATATAAATGCATATGAATATGATGCTCATTCTTCAATTTTCCAATATTAAATTACACAAAATTTAGAAATATAATCGTCATATTCAACTCAATCATATCAACACTATCAAAGAATACAAGTAAAATAATTTGTATAATCTCGTTTATTTCTTATTCAAGTATATTTTTTCTAGATGACACAATACTGTTATGCAATTGTAAAAATAATTTATAATTATTTTCTTATATCATAGAAATATTTCTAGATATAGCTTCAAAAACTTTTCAAAAAATTAAAATTTATACACTAATAAAAATACAATAAATGCAAAATTCGTGTAACACACGTGATAGTTACTGTGCGGAGAGTTTTTTTTTTTAAACTTCGCACTGTATGAAGAGTTTGCCAATTCTCCGCACTGTGCGAAATTTATTTTTTATTTTTTATTTTTTTTACTCTGCATTGTACGGAGAGTACTCACTTTGTGAGGACAATGTTCGCACAGAATGCCATCTCTCCGCACTGTGCAAAGAGTTTTGCTATGGTGTTTGCCATCTTTCTGCACTGTGCAGAGATTTTTTTTTTACTTCGCACTGTACTGAGAGAGTGCTAACTTTTCGCATATGGTTTGTCATCTCTCCGCACTATGTGGAGAGTTTTTTTTTTTACTCCGAACATGGTTTGCCATCTCTTCGCATTGTGCGGAGTTTTTTTTTTTTTTTTTTAAAGCTCATGTGCGAAGAATTTTTTTTCATGGCATTTTCTATTTACTAAAATTATTATTATTTTTAATGCCAGTGGCATGATGTATGGAAGAACATTTGTTTGATATAATTATTTTTTTAATATTAGTGAGATGATGTGTGAAAGAACATTTATTTGACATAAACAAAATAGAAAATAAAAAAATGACATCATGCATAATAAATTTGGATTCATTTACTATTGCATGAATAGTAGATCCTCCTTCCTCTTTTTATTAGAAGTTAGATATATGTTGAAATGCGTTATATTTCAAGTGATTCATTAACTTGGTTACCTTGGGAGATTACACGGCATTCAATGAAAAAAACATAATTTTGACTAATTTATTTACAAAAGAAGACAACATGTAACATTGACATTTCCAAATAAACTATGTAATTTTCCTGTGGGTATCCAAACCATGTCTCATTCAATACGAAATAGTTAATACTTGACATGTACCTTATGAAATTAAGTCCGTATTTAGTTACGAAAGTTGATTAAAATCTAAGCTAAAGTATTAACTTTATTCCCAATTTTCTTGAAATCATTACTTTTCAACCTTACATTACATGATCTTTTATTAAAAAATCTACTAAAATCTAGTTTTAATTCAAATCACCGTTTTGCCCACATTCTCTTTCATTTTTTTTCCTCGATCTTATTTTCAACCACACAATCTTTCATAAAATAATATTACACGTAAATCGAAATTTTTCATTCTTTTTCAACCACACATTTTTCAAAAAACACTATTTCAAACATTAAAATTTAAAAAAAAAAAATTGGGGGCCAAATGGGATTTAAAAAAATCTACTAAATTCTAATTTTATTCAAATCAAATGGAGGCTATATATTATGGGAAAAATTCATATTTCAGGTCTATTCTTTACAGCATTTCAAAAATCAGGTAAGAAGTTTGAAAATTCAAAATTCAGGTTTGTATTTAATTAATTAAAAATATTTATTAAATAAATATATTAAAGTGACAATTAAATAATTAATGGTCACAAATTTATTTACTGGTAACATATTATCAAATTAATTGATCACAAATTCATTTACTGGTCACATATAAAACATTTTATAGGTTACAAATAATTTCAGGTCATGGATCAAAAAGGATTATCAAATTTCAAGGTCACAAACCAAATCGTTGAGGTCACAAATTGTCAAATTTTAAGGTCACATGCCAAATCGTTGGTCACATATACCAAATACTCCATTGTTGAACCCAATCCACCACCAATGATTCGTCACAGAGCAACCAAATGGTCACCACCACCACCAACAATGTCGTCACCACTAGATCCAACACATTGCCAACAAAAATACCACAACTACCACTATTAGATCCATACACACAGAACTCACACAAATAAGCACAAATACACCACAGATCGGCCACCTGCGCCAACGATCATCGTCATCGCCATAGCCACAACAATAATCCTAAAACCACCAAAAACATAAAATCACTGTAGCCTTGATCTGTGCCATCACCATGCCGCTACAGCCATCGCGCACAGCATAGCGTCGAGATCTTCGTACCCCCCACAAAATCGCACACCTCCACTACCACCGCAATCACAAAACTAGGACACCATCATAGTGCGCTGCTCCACCTTCCTTGATGGCTCCACTGCAAGGCGCCTGTGGGTAGGGAGAGGGATAAAGATGGAATGAAGAGAGGAATGTATAAGGGAGAGAGATGTAGGGTTTGCTATATGGGAGTTGAAATCGACTTCTATTGTGTTTGGATTTAATATTTAAATATATAATAATTAAATTGAAACCTGAGATTTGCATAAACAACTTTGGAACCTGACTCTTGCACTGGGATCTCCAAATACCTGGGATTCTATAATTTCCTCATATATTATCCTTTCAGTCCAGCACTTGTTAGAAAATGGCTACAAATTTACTTACCAATTGATAAAGTGACAAGATTTGATTAGTTCGAAATTTCATCAACCAAAAAAAAGAAAAACACCCCTACATTTTTTTGATACCTCATAAATCTGTAAAACATTATATAAATGATGATGTATAACAAGCATTTTTCATGTTTCCCTTGTCATGATTTTTAGTGCTTGTTTGGAAGTTTATAAGTTGCTAAAAAATTGTGGTCAAAATCAACAATTAAGCCCCTATTTGTGCTCCATTAAAATGAGATTTGGGGGAAAAAATATTTATGAGAATAGTGATTTTTTGGAAAATGTTTGAATAAAAAAAATGCTTTGAGTTTATGTGTAACATTATTTTATAAGCGAATAGGTGGTTGAAAATGGATCTTGAAAAATATATTTTTGAAAAAAAGGAGCCCAAACATGGACTAAAAATTTAACTAGATATGTACATGGGACCCACAACTATTATTCATTTTTCACATCTCTTCAAAGTATGTAAATTTAAAAAAATAATTGTTGTACATTACCATTTATAGATTTTCTTTAACAGATTGATGAGGTAGCAAAAAGAGAGTAGAGAACTTATTATTATTATTTGATTGTCGAGGTTCTTAATCAAATCTCGTCGTATCGTCTGTTGATAATTAAAGTTGTAAATTATGATATCCCTATAGCACAACCGTTAAATTAATCCCCCATTCGTCTACCACTAAAGCAAAACTTTTTTTCTCAAACTCATTTTCAACCGCACACTTACATAAAATATGTTATAGGTAAATTCAAAATTTTTTTTGATATTTTATCGACACATTTTTCTAAAAATTACTATTCAAAAATTAATTATCACAAAATTACTATTTTGAAAATAATGGAATTAACTAAGGCTATCTCCAACGCTGTACCAAAATTTGAACAATTTTGCACCAAGTCTTTCACCAAACCAAAATTTATCTCCAACCCTTACACCAAATGAACAGTGTTTAACCATTTTTTCCCTTTTTTATTCTTAATAATTATTTATTTGAAATATTATTTGTTTAATTATTTTATAAATATTATGTTGTTTAAATGTAAAAAAAAATAATAATAATTTATTGTATTAAAATATATATAGCACACATGACACAAATATCTTTAATCAATTTATTTGGAGAAGGAAAAGTTAGGATAAAAATGACATTATACATTTTGCACCATTTATTTCGAAAAGGAAAAACAAGGGTAAAAATGATATTATTCGCTTTGCTCTATTGTGTAAAATTGTGCAAAGTTTAATGTCACTTTAGATGAAATTTGAACCAAAATTTGGTACATTTTGATGAGATGGTGCATGCATTGCAGATCCTATAAGAGCTTAGGATCCTAAACTGCTGGCTGTATTGCAACAAAGTACAGCAACGCTATATTTCCGCAGAGTGGGTCCTCATTTGCTGTTTCCTTAATTCCATTTCGTTGTCTGTTTCGGCTGTTTCTTTCTACACTCATTTTCATAAATGTATACCAGGTTGTAAAAATAGCCAAGCAGGACAGGATTCGCCATGGAAACCAAGAAACTGAGAGAAAAATTACACGAGATTAAGACCCAAAACTTTACTGATTCTCATTCTTCATCCAAGGTCTTTTTTAATTTAATTTTTTTCAAAATTTCTGCCTGTGATTTTCGTTCTTGTAATTGCAATTTTTTATTTGATAGGAAAAGAAGAATAAGAAGACAATGCAAATGGGAACCGAGAAAAAGATAGTTACAAAGAAAACCAAAACTCGCAAATCTAAGCATAATGAAGTGAGTTGTTGTATTTTTTTTATTTATGTGTGTGTGTTATTTGTGGTTCTTGAATAATGAACAGCATGATGGTTTATTATTTTTGCTGGGCTCAGAGAAGGAAAATTGGAGCAATTTTAAATGTGGGTTCTCTTGGTTTTCCTATAACATATATGTAATTTGTTCTGCTTTGCGTCTTTTGGGTGACCGAAATCTATTTTCGGTCGAACTTTTGAAACCCTAATTTTTAGACGAACTAAGAATTACAACAGATTCCGCTAATCGGTGAATGAGGTTGTACCAAATGTGGTTTCGTGATTTCCGATTTTCTTATTTTAATCTCTGATGGTTTTGTTTTTATTACCAGTTTTTCCTCGTGAGCTGAGACCCAGTGTTCAGATAGATGGCTTAAACTAATGAGCTCGGATATTAATGGACTCTTAGAAGAGTTATCTGTCGGAACAATACTCTTACCTATCTATTAACAAGAAGTAGATCCTTTTTGGGGTTTGTGAAAATCTTTGCTCCAAATGGTAGCTCATGACTGTGATATAATTGAAGACATTTGATCAGACAAAATCTTGTTTGATATTTTCAACATTATAATTTATGGGGACTTTTTGTTGGGTAAATGTCAAAAAAGTGGGGAATGTAGAGGCCAAAGCTTAGCTATAAAGTGGTAAGAGTGAAGTCAGGTCAATGGAAATAGATCCGAGCCTCCTTTGGGAGGAGCATGAAATCCTTTTATCTCGTTTTAAAAAATGAAAAGAAGTCAGGGAATGTAACGAGTAAATCATTCGAAATGAGATAATATCACACACGAAATTCATGTGAGTTATTCTCACAAGTATATTAACATTAAAGTAGAATTATAGAATTTTACTTTCTCATCATTTTCTAGAAGACGACCGATAGCAGTATATCGTTTTATATGTTTCTTGAAATTCATGTATTAAGTCTCGGGATGGTTATCTTTCTTTAGAGAAGTAGCTCAATTCCGTATATGTTGATTATTGTTTTTATATAGATCCGATGTGGATTTTACCCCAATATTCAGCCTTGAGATTCCATCTTAAAAGTTCAATAAGAGGATTAGCCCACACTAATATATATGATAATTGTTTCATATTTAAGTGAGGTGAGATTTTATCTTTATAATTATGTTGCCTGTGTCATGTATTAGTTGGATATTCAACTCGATGGCTCATATAAATGATCCATTGTTTATCTTAATTTTCTCTCATTAGCCTATGCAATGTGTGAGGAGACTTAATGCTTTACGTGGTTTAGAATATATTCAATGAATTGATGCAATTACCTGTGCTCTTGACTAGGTGTCTTCCGATAATTCGAAGAAATCAGAAAGGTTAGCAATTTATTTGAATGACTTTACAATTTGGATTTTTTTTCTGATTTCCTGATCTACCCCAGCATTGTACGAAAGAGGGCAAGGTATAGTGACATGTATGATGATATTGAAGCCCGATTCTCGGTTATGGAGCGAGCAGATAAATTGCTGGCTAGTATAGTGAGTAAAACCCCTAACTTTATCAAGTGTATGCTCCCGTCAAATGTTTCTCACGGATTTTGGCTGGTAAGCCTGAAATTTTGCACTCTTTTTAAGAATACAAGCAAGTTAGGCTAAGCTTAAAAGCTACTTTTCTCAGAAGTAAGTTAAGAGAGAAGAATTCAAAATTATATTTGACAAATAAAAGCTTAAAAAACAGTCATACTTCTTAAGCTTAGCTAGACATGCTCTACCCCACATATTGGTGAACAAGATGGAGATCTTTGCGCTAATGCTTTTAATGACAGCATCTGCCTAGGAAATTCTGCGACCTGCACTTGCCGAAACATGATTCCACTACTGTTTTGGTGGATGAATGGGGAAATGAATACAAAACATCTTACTTACTGGAAAGGAATGGTTTGAGTGCTGGATGGAAGGGTTTTTCTGTATCTCACAGGTTACTGAAGGGAGATATATTGATTTTTCTTTTGGTCGAACCTTTCAAATTGAAGGTTATTTTTTCATCATTTGTATGTACATATATGCTTGTACGTAGATCGAAGATTACTTTTCCATTCTAAAGCATTATGTTTTTGTAGGTGCACATAGTGAGAGTTAATAGTTCAGACGTCATGGATGCAGCACTTTGCCTCATGAATTTGTATGCTCATGGGAGAGGCATAGATCCGGGTTCGTTTTCCTTCCCGTTTTCTTCGTCTTTCTCGATTCATGAAATATTATCCAAAATCTGCTATGCTGTCGATCTCGTATGTATTCTTTGACATTTTACATTTGAGTGAAGATCTTGTGAAGAAAGACAATAAGAAGCGTAAAAAAGCAACTTTTGTAGACCCTTTCGTGCTTGTAATATCTACGCCGCCAGAGAGTGTTCATAGCCAAGGCAAAAACACACCAAAATCTGTCGTTCAGCCTGTAACAAATCAATCTGAAAGTAGTAGCAATGGTTTTCGCTCTGAAATTCTTTAAGGTACATGGTTGGTTAGAATATATTGAATTATGAATTGAGGACCCCTTGAAATTTATAATTGATCCAGGAAATGGAATTTGTAGGCATTGACAGCATGAAAGACCCTAAACTCTTCAACTCTGGTTCATCATATCTACATGGCCAAACCGGCCAAACTCGCGAAGGGGTCACCTGTAGGTAGAGGATTCCAAGGAACATGGGTTTTTTGGCATTAGCTCAGATCGATCTGAGCATGTTGACTATCAGTGTTCTGTTCATGAGACTTGATCCCGATAGGTACGTGAAAGCGCGAATGTACCGACATTGAACGTCAAAGGTAAAACTTACCCAGTAACAACAATGTAGTAGCTGTAAAATACTTTTGTAGGAACTTGCTTGTATCAACTTATGAGTAAAAAATGAATTAAAATATTCAAACATTAAAAAAAGAAAAGAAAAGAAAAGAAATTGGTATGGGCTTGTTTTTAATTGTTGTAAGAAAAATGCGAAATCAAATCGCTTTGTAAAGGATAGAAGTATATTTGAGAACATTGGATTGGATCAAGAGATGTTAAATCGCTTTAATTCTAGAACTTGGGGTTCCAGCATCATTTTAAAGCTAGATATGACCAAGGCTTATGATCGGCTTGATTGGAATTTTCTTAAAGAAATCCTTCATTCTTTCGGCCTTGGTGAGAATTTCATTCAGCTTATTGATTATTGTGGGACCACCCCAAAGTTTTCTGTTATGATGAATGGGCCGTATAAGAGTTTCTTCAAATCTTCTCGTGGAGTTAGACAAGGAGACCCTTTGACCCCGTATCTTTTTATTTTAGCAGAGGAGTTGTTGACCAGAATGTTGAAGAATGCATTTGAAAATGGAAAGCTTGGATACATGATTCAACCTGTTGGTGAAACAAAAGTAAGCCATCTAGCTTAAGCAGAGGATATAATAATTTTTCTAAGAGGAAACTCTAGGTCAATCAAAAACTTATTGAAGATACTAGACAAATATCAAACTCTTTTTGGACAAAAAATCAACAAGCAAAAATCTGCCATGTTTTCTCTTTCCAGATGCCATATGGAAGGAAACAAAATTTGCTATGACTAACGGGTTTTGCCATGAGTTCCTTTCCATGTTCGTATTTGGGTACTCCTATTTCCCCTGGCCGAGTAAGCTATCGTGATTTCGAGCCTCTGATTACAAAGATTAGGAAAAAGATGGACGGTTGGAAAGGAGCACTATTATCTGCAGAAAGAAAACTCATTCTTGTTCGACATGTGCTGTCAAGCATGCCCATCCATCTTATGATGGTGATAGCAGTCCTTAAAAAGGTAATTCATCAGCCGAACGTGCTGTTGTCTAATTTCTTATGTGGTCAAGGAGAGTTTGGCCCAAAGAAACATTGGGTTGCTTGGAAAAAAATAGCAAGGCCTACTGGAGAAGGGGGGATCGGTGTGTGAGATTTCTCAGGGGTACAACAAGCTCTTCATGTTAAGTTGGCTTGTAATTATTGTTTTGGGACTTGTGGGCTAAATTTATGAGAAATAAGTATGCCACTCAAACTATCTGGGAGACATCCAGAAAAACTAGCTCAAAACAATGGAGTATTATTTCCAAATGTTAATCGGTTATCAAAGAGCATTCCTGTTGGTGGATTAAAAAGGGCGACAAGAGTTTTTGGTTTGATAAATGGTCCAAATCTGTTTCATTATCTGAGCTTCATCCTAACTTCAGCAATTCACATTTAAGAGTGAATGATTTATTAATAGAGACTGGTTGGAAAGAACAGGAGCTCATTAATTTGGTGGGCGAAACACAAGCAATGGAGCTCATGTCTAAAATCTCAAAACTCAAACCTGGGGAAGACTCAATTATATGGTGCCCAGACTCAAAAGGCAGTTTTCCATACAAAAGTGCATGGGATGTGATACGTGATAAGGGGGGTATGCAGAACTTCTTTGATTGGGTATGGCATCCACTTATTCCAAAGAAAGTATCCTTTATGATATGGAAAGGGCTGGACAAGGCTTTGAGTGTGGATTTACGTATTAAAGAGGTTGGTATAAACTTAGCATCAAAATGCAACTGTTGTGAATCACCCTCTCAAGAATCGGAAGAACACATCCTGAGTACGGGGGATTTTGTAGATAGTTTATGGAGGAAATTTGATTCTGGGCTTACAACATCAGGTGGGTCTCTCATGGAGAATCAGATTGGAAAACTGGTGTAGACGAGCTAAAAAGACATCCCAATCCGGTACCTTAATGGGAATTTTTCCTCGTCTTAATCTGGATTCTGTGGAAAAGGCGATGTCGTGCAAGATTCGGAGGCATTTTAGATTCGCAAAATGCATGCTGGACAAATATAGAACTGGGCACAGGAGTTTGCTTGTCGTATGGCCGAGGACAAGAAGCTGAAAATTGGTGATAAACAAATTATGAGCAATTAATCCTTCCCTTTCCAATACCCTGCTCAAATAAAAACACCAAAACTGGTGGTCTGGAGAAAGCCAAGGCAAGGATGGGTGAAACTTAATGTCGATGGGGGGGCTTCACAAGGAAATCCTGGACCAGCTGGTGGAGGATTAGAGACGAACTTGGTATTTTGCAGTTGGGTTTTTCAAATCATTATGGTGAAGGAACCATATGTTTGCAAAGTTGCGTGCTCTCCTTGATGGGGTGCGATTTTGCGTGGAGCTCGGGTATACACAAGTACAATTAGAATCTGATTCTCAGGGACCGGTGCAATGGATCAATCAGGGGTGATGCTCTCTTTGAGGTTTTTGGGATGAACTTGAGCTTTTGCTGCAACAGATCTCTCTTTCTTTTGAACACGTCTATCGTGAAGCAAATTCTATAGCAGATCATCTGGCAAAATTAGGGACTAGCAGTGTGGAGCTAAAGATTATGGAAGCGAAAGATTTACCTTAGAAAGCTTGAGGTGTATATCGCCTAGACTTAGTTTCTTTTCCCTTCATACGTTTAAAATTTTTTTATTGAGAGTACTAAAGATTTTTGTTAAAATAATAATAATAATAAAAAAAAATAAAAAAAAATAGCTAGTGCATTTTCACTTATTTAAAAAAAAAAAATTGATTCACAAACAATGGTGCGACAACATGAATGGGCTAAAATACCCAATAGGAAATACGGTTGAGGACCATTAACTACAAGCCGAATGCGAATTTAGCGCAAAGGGAGTTCCTCAGACTATCTGGTCAATGTCTGGGGTTCATTACTTTAGCTACTTTTGTCTACGTGCCATTTGGGCAATTTCAAAACTTCATGGACCAATTTGATATTAAACAAAAAGTTGGTTTGCCAATGCGATCTCTGCCCTTTTTCAAACTGTCGTAGATGGTGACGAATAGAATTTTAATTTCTTTTTAGGGTGATTAGCACAAAAGGTCCTACATTTCAATGTTATTGGGCAAAACGTTCATACCATTTTTTTTTTGACATTTTTGCCCTTATTTCAATGTTTCATTGTAGAAAACGTCATTTGCTACATTTTTTAATGTAAAATGACCAAATTACCCTCTCATTTAAATAAAAGAAAAAAAGAATAAATTATAATTTTACTCTTGAATGTTTTAAAAAATGCAAGTGAGTTTAAATAATTATTAAAATGCTTAATAGCATAAAACGTCTTTACGTTTGGCCTATAGTATGCAAAACGTTCCTACGTTTCAAATTGGTGGAAATGACGTTTTTCACAATGAAACGTGAAAACATGAATGAAAACGCAAAAAAAAAAATTTGAAATGTAGGGACGTTTTTCATAAGAAGTGTCAAACATAGGGAATTTTTTTGCTATTAGGCCTTATTAAATATTAAAAATAACAAAAAAAATTCTCTCTCTTTTCTTCTTCTCCAAATGAGACTATCACGTTAGAAGTGAAAAAACTCCGACCAAACATCATCCAAATCGCCGAACTTTCATACCGTTGAACCATCTGTTGATATTTTAAAACCATGAAGAGATGCACCCTAATGAGTATAGTCGATTGGTGTGTTGGAAATGACATGAGTCTCTCCTAAGCAGATAATGCCACCAGTATTTGCATTCACGAGTTGGGTATTTTGACTTGCAATTCAGAACAAATCTATTAGCATGAAGGTTTTAAGGTTGGACGTTAGATGGTATCTGTAGAGGGAAGTAAGGGCTTTTCAGTGGTATGGTGGTCCAGCAGTTTGGGTGGTGGTTTGCTGGAGTTTTTTGGCTTCTAAGGTGGTTGACCCATTTGGAGAAGAAGAGAAGACAAAGAGAGAGAGAGAGGTTTTTTTTTTTTTTTTTTTTGGGTTATTTTTAATATATTAATAAGGCTTGATAGCAAAAAGAATCCCTACGTTTGACACTTCTAGCTGAAAACGTCTATGCGTTTCAATTTATTTATTTATTTATTATTATTATTATTTTATTTTTTTTTGCATTTTCATCCCTATTTTCACGATTCATTGCGGAAAACGTCATTTTCACTAAGGGTCCGTTTGATTGGAAAGATAGAATTAAATTGCCTAAAAAACGAATTTCAAGGAATTGAATTACCTAGAATTATTTCCCTGAGAATTTTAAATTATTGTGTTTGATTGGTATAATTTTCCACGTGGAAAATGTTGAAATAAAAGTATTTTTTAGTGTTCGTTTGGTTTTGTTTTATATGAAAATTGTCAATTAAAGAGATAGATTTTACTGATATTGAGGATTAAATTTGTTTCCATTGCCAACAAAAAAAATTCAAAAAAGTCATCTATCTTTTGGTGCTCGTTTGACTTTATTTTACATGAAAATTGTCATTTAAAGGGAAATATTTTTTTACAATAATTCTTAGAATTTGCTTTTATTGCCAACAAAAAAAAAAAAAAAAAAGTGCTACAGTACGTAGGAATCCCACCATATATGGTGGGAATTGGTTTTCCTTAAAAATCAAGAAAATTCCAAGCTTCAAGACAACCTATAATTCGAATTCCAAGGAAAAAAAAAAATTGTATCAAACATCTAAAATTGGAAAATTCAATTCCAATTCCATCTTTCAATTCCATTTCCACCGTATCAAACACACCCTAATTTGAAACGTAGAGACGTTTTGTGCTATTAAGCCTTTTAATAATTATTTGGACTCACTTGTATTTTTTAAAACATTTAAGAGTAAGATTGTAATTTATTTATATATTTTTTTTAAATGGGAGGATATTTTGATCATTTTACATTAAAAAATGGTGAAACGACGTTTTCTGTAATAAATCATTGAAATAAGGGCGAAAATGTCAAAAAATGAAAGGTGGGAATGTTTTTACAATAATATTGAAATGAGCCTTTTGTGCTAATTACTTTTTTCTTTTTATTTTTTAATTTAGTTCAATATGTGCTATGTGTATGGGACCGGAATTCATTAAATTAAAAGATGCCAATTATTGATTGACCAGTGTCCCTCACGATCTTTTTTCCTTTCTAATATAAGTCAAAGGGGCTACATTAAGTCCCGTTTGGTAACAATTTTTTAATCAAAAAATTTATTTTTTGACTATTATTTCACTATTTGAGCCATCATTTTTTATTTCGTCACTCACAGGTAAGACCTACATTTATCTCTAGCGATCAAAAAATCAATTATCATAATTATTACTGAACATATCCTTAACTTTATTGAGATTGTGTTCAACTCCAACAAATTTAGCAAGTCATGGAGTTTGGAGAGTCTCTTACAAATGTGAATTGTTCGTATTAAAATAATTAAAATAAAAAATTGTGGTAGTCTTGTTTGAGAGAGAGAGAACGACAAGATTGAATTTTGGAGGAATACAAACCATTTCTTTTCCCCTCTTCATTTCTATTCTTCTCTTTAGAAAGGCATAAAACAAATCATAATAACGTTAATTCAGTACAGATCAGTGCCCAATTGATTAGCTATGAACTTGATATAGGCCTTTTTTTTTTTTTTTTTTTTTTTTATGGTGTTTGAGAAGTTAAAAGGAGATTTTGAGATGTAAAAGTTTCTTTTGGATTCGTTTAATTAATTTTATGAAAGTGTTTTTTCTAGTTAACATTTTTTTTTTTAAAGAAGATGTTGGTCTGTTGTAGAATTCTTTAAATACACTTCGGACCAGGAAGTTCTTATAGAAATTAGTTTCCAAATAAAAATTAAGGTGAACTTTTCAAAAAACTCTTTTATAAGAAATAAAAGTAAAAGTAAAAATTATGCTAAAGGGGCTCATTGTTACGTTAATTCAGTCTAACTTCAAAAATAGAATTGCAATTTTAAAATAAAAATAACTTCACTAAAAAGATAAAAATGAGACTGTCAAAGAGTATATATGACCTTTTACGTGACAAACTCTCAAATGGGAAATTTAGTTGAACTTAGGTTACGTTTGGCATACCATATAGAGATTCTCACATTCATAGATTTTTGTTTCTGTTTGAGTCCTATCATCTAAAAGTTCATTTTTTCTTCAGGCTTATAAAATAATTTTAAACATAAAGTCAAAAAAAATTATTTTGTTGTGCTTTGGTATTTAGTTTTTATAAATATGACAGCAATAAGTGCTAACTACGGAAGGTTGATGATAAGAATTCGATAAAAAAAGTTGGTGATTAAAAGTGCTTTAACGAGTAAAGATCAGTGATTTTGAGTGCAATGTAATATGGTGTATGGATTTCATTCTCATATTACCTAGAACTGCAAAAGATCATGATTCCATTTTCGTGTTAGTCAATAGGTTCTCTAAGATGTCACACTTATTTCTGTGTTCCAAATCTTCTGATGCTTCCCATATTGCTAATTTGTTCTTCAAAGAAGTTAGTTTTCATGGGCTTCCGATCACTATTTATCTAATCGAGATGCTAAATTTGTTAGTTACTTTTGGAAGGCATCGTGAAAATTGTCTGGGACAACGCTTAATGTTCATTATCTGCTTTCCACCCCCAAACTGGTTGTCAAACTGAAGTTGTGAATCGTAATTTAGGTAATCTATTTCATTGCTTGATTAAGGATAAATCGGATAATTGGAATCTTGTGATATACTTCATTGACTTTGCCTATAATAATTATGTTAGTCGGTCTATCAATTATAGCCGCTTCAAGATCGTTCAATGTTTTCCTCACATCAACCTCTTAATTTTGTTCCTTTGCCTACCGATTTTTGTCCGGCTACCTCCGCTCAGGCTTTTTCTTATCATATTCGTAATTTGCACGATAAGATTAAACATGAAATTTCTTAAGTAATAAGCATTATAAACTATCGGCTGATTCTCACAATAGGCATAAAGAATTTAATATTGATTATATCATAGTAAGACTTGCACCTGAACAATTTCCTAAACATGCTGTCAAGAAACTTTGTGCTAGATCCCTTGGACCTTTCCCCATTATTAAACAACTTGGAACTAATGCTTATCTCCTTGAGTTATCATCGCATTTAAATATCAGTCATGTTTTCAATATAGCATATTTGTATCATTTTTCTAGTTTGTTAGAAGAATTGTCCGACTAGCGATGCTACATGAATTATTTAAGATGAGTTTCCATCAGTTGGATGACAAGTTTGGATCATACCTCGTCAGAGTCAAGTTCTTTTCAACTGCAGGGGAATGATACAACTTGAAAGTGATTTCCTTTATTAGTTGTGTTTTTATAAAGATGTCAATTGATTGTAACAAGATAGACTTGAATATTGAAATAAACTACAATCTCCCTCATTTTGTCCTTTCTCTTCTTGATTGGTCTTTTACTGCTTGCATTCGTCATCACTTTAACTCTTCTTTGATTGGCAACATTTATCCTTAATGATGATTTTCTTATGAAAAAAAAAAAATGAAAGAAAGAAAGAAAAACACTCAATGTTAACGCACTTCAAAACTAGAGACAAGTATATAGTGTAATTTTGTAATTTTTTTTCTATTGCTTATTCAAAAATACGATGGCAAATTAATATTTTTGTTATCTCTTAACAGCAATTTTGGATAGAAATAATCATTCGAGACAATATGTGCTAATCAATTGAAAGATAATAATAAAAATGCGATGAAAAAAGTTGAACATGGTATATAATGAGTAAATGTGCCGATCCTTTCATGCAATTTAACTATGGTGCATCTAGAACTATATGTGGTATGAATGTATGTAACCTATAATTGTCAATATAATTTTTCCCTATTACTTCTCTTTTTACTGAATTTACCTATATACCCATAAATCTGTTTCCTCCGATTTATTTAAAAAGAAATTCTACCTCAATTTTAAAAGTTCACAAAGGTGAGGGACTTCCCTGTAATTTTTCGTTTTCCGCAGTTACTAAACGGCTAAAGCACTGAATACGAAGTGTTTCTTCCCTCACACTGCCAGTGTCCTCAACAAATCCATCTTCTTCCACACTTGGGTTTGCTATGTATATATGCAGATCTTCGTATAACCTTTTTGTACATAGACATACATTCTCATTAAAATTGGGGGAAAAAAAGAGAAGAATTTTCAATGCATGCAAGTAGAGAGAAAATCATGAGCGAAAAGAGTCCGAATTTTAGTAAAATTTTAACAGAATTAAAGGAAGAAGAAGTGGAGTTCGAGCAGCGAGAACAAAAAGAAGAAGGAGAAATCACTGGTTCAGACGACGAAGAGTTTGACTACCCATCGGTATTTCGGTTTCGGCCGAACCGAATCGTTTCCTCCCCTGCGGTATCTCTTCGCCTATTGTCTCTCATTTATCGCATTCTACTGCACAGATTAAGATTATCATCTGATCTGAAGAGATTTAAGAAATAGATTAATTAAAGCCTGAAATTTTGCACTCTTTTTAAGAATACAAGCAAGTTAGGCTAAGCTTAAAAGCTACTTTTCTCAGAAGTAAGTTAAGAGAGAAGAATTCAAAATTATATTTGACAAATAAAAGCTTAAAAAACAGTCATACTTCTTAAGCTTAGCTAGACATGCTCTACCCCACATATTGGTGAACAAGATGGAGATCTTTGCGCTAATGCTTTTAATGACAGCATCTGCCTAGGAAATTCTGCGACCTGCACTTGCCGAAACATGATTCCACTATTGTTTTGGTGGATGAATGGGGAAATGAATACAAAACGTCTTACTTACTGGAAAGGAATGGTTTGAGTGCTGGATGGAAGGGTTTTTCTGTATCTCACAGGTTACTGAAGGGAGATATATTGATTTTTCTTTTGGTCGAACCTTTCAAATTGAAGGTTATTTTTTCATCATTTGTATGTACATATATGCTTGTACGTAGATCGAAGATTACTTTTCCATTCTAAAGCATTATGTTTTTGTAGGTGCACATAGTGAGAGTTAATAGTTCAGACGTCATGGATGCAGCACTTTGCCTCATGAATTTGTATGCTCATGGGAGAGGCATAGATCCGGGTTCGTTTTCCTTCCCGTTTTCTTCGTCTTTCTCGATTCATGAAATATTATCCAAAATCTGCTATGCTGTCGATCTCCTATGTATTCTTTGACATTTTACATTTGAGTGAAGATCTTGTGAAGAAAGACAATAAGAAGCGTAAAAAAGCAACTTTTGTAGACCCTTTCGTGCTTGTAATATCTACGCCGCCAGAGAGTGTTCATAGCCAAGGCAAAAACACACCAAAATCTGTCGTTGAGCCTGTAACAAATCAATCTGAAAGTAGTAGCAATGGTTTTCGCTCTGAAATTCTTTAAGGTACATGGTTGGTTAGAATATATTGAATTATGAATTGAGGACCCCTTGAAATTTATAATTGATCCAGGAAATGGAATTTGTAGGCATTGACAGCATGAAAGACCCTAAACTCTTCAACTCTGGTTCATCATATCTACATGGCCAAACCGGCCAAACTCGCGAAGGGGTCACCTGTAGGTAGAGGATTCCAAGGAACATGGGTTTTTTGGCATTAGCTCAGATCGATCTGAGCATGTTGACTATCAGTGTTCTGTTCATGAGACTTGATCCCGATAGGTACGTGAAAGCGCGAATGTACCGACATTGAACGTCAAAGGTAAAACTTACCCAGTAACAACAATGTAGTAGCTGTAAAATACTTTTGTAGGAACTTGCTTGTATCAACTTATGAGTAAAAAATGAATTAAAATATTCAAACATTAAAAAAAGAAAAGAAATTGGTATGGGCTTGTTTTTAATTGTTGTAAGAAAAATGCGAAATCAAATCGCTTTGTAAAGGATAGAAGTATATTTGAGAACATTGGATTGGATCAAGAGATGTTAAATCGCTTTAATTCTAGAACTTGGGGTTCCAGCATCATTTTAAAGCTAGATATGACCAAGGCTTATGATCGGCTTGATTGGAATTTTCTTAAAGAAATCCTTCATTCTTTCGGCCTTGGTGAGAATTTCATTCAGCTTATTGATTATTGTGGGACCACCCCAAAGTTTTCTGTTATGATGAATGGGCCGTATAAGAGTTTCTTCAAATCTTCTCGTGGAGTTAGACAAGGAGAGACCCTTTGACCCCGTATCTTTTTATTTTAGCAGAGGAGTTGTTGACCAGAATGTTGAAGAATGCATTTGAAAATGGAAAGCTTGGATACATGATTCAACCTGTTGGTGAAACAAAAGTAAGCCATCTAGCTTAAGCAGATGATATAATAATTTTTCTAAGAGGAAACTCTAGGTCAATCAAAAACTTATTGAAGATACTAGACAAATATCAAACTCTTTTTGGACAAAAAATCAACAAGCAAAAATCTGCCATGTTTTCTCTTTCCAGATGCCATATGGAAGGAAACAAAATTTGCTATGACTAACGGGTTTAGCCATGAGTTCCTTTCCATGTTCGTATTTGGGTGCTCCTATTTCCCCTGGCCGAGTAAGCTATCGTGATTTCGAGCCTCTGATTACAAATATTAGGAAAAAGATGGACGGTTGGAAAGGAGCACTATTATCTGCAGAAAGAAAACTCATTCTTGTTCGACATGTGCTGTCAAGCATGCCCATCCATCTTATGATGGTGATAGCAGTCCTTAAAAAGGTAATTCATCAGCCGAACGTGCTGTTGTCTAATTTCTTATGTGGTCAAGGAGAGTTTGGCCCAAAGAAACATTGGGTTGCTTGGAAAAAAATAGCAAGGCCTACTGGAGAAGGGGGGGATCGGTGTGTGAGATTTCTCAGAGGTACAACAAGCTCTTCATGTTAAGTTGGCTTGTAATTATTGTTTTGGGACTTCCTTGTGGGCTAAATTTATGAGAAATAAGTATGCCACTCAAACTATCTGGGAGACATCCAGAAAAACTAGCTCAAAACAATGGAGTATTATTTCCAAATGTTAATCGGTTATCAAAGAGCATTCCTGTTGGCGGATTAAAAAGGGCGACGAGAGTTTTTGGTTCGATAAATGGTCCAAATCAGTTTCATTATCTGAGCTTCATCCTAACTTCAGCAATTCACATTTAAGAGTGAATGATGTATTAATAGAGACTGGTTGGAAAGAACAGGAGCTCATTAATTTGGTGGGCTAAACACAAGCAATGGAGCTCATGTCTAAAATCTCAAAACTCAAACCTGGGGAAGACTCAATTTTATGGTGCCCAGACTCAAAAGGCAGTTTTCCATACAAAAGTGCATGGGATGTGATACGTGATAAGGGGGGTATGCAGAACTTCTTTGATTGGGTATGGCATCCACTTATTCCAAAGAAAGTATCCTTTATGATATGGAAAGGGCTGCACAAGGCTTTGAGTGTGGATTTACGTATTAAAGAGGTTGGTATAAACTTAGCATCAAAATGCAACTGTTGTGAATCACCCTCTCAAGAATCGGAAGAACACATCCTGAGTACGGGGGATTTTGTAGATAGTTTATGGAGGAAATTTGATTCTGGGCTTACAACATCAGGTGGGTCTCTCATGGAGAATCAGATTGGAAAACTGGTGTAGACGAGCTAAAAAGACATCCCAATCCGGTACCTTAATGGGAATTTTTCCTCGTCTTAATCTGGATTCTGTGGAAAAGGCGATGTCGTGCAAGATTCGGAGGCATTTTAGATTCGCAAAATGCATGCTGGACAAATATAGAACTGGGCACAGGAGTTTGCTTGTCGTATGGCCGAGGACAAGAAGCTGAAAATTGGTGATAAACAAATTATGAGCAATTAATCCTTCCCTTTCCAATACCCTGCTCAAATAAAAACACCAAAACTGGTGGTCTGGAGAAAGCCAAGGCAAGGATGGGTGAAACTTAATGTCGATGGGGGGGCTTCACAAGGAAATCCTGGACCAGCTGGTGGAGGATTAGAGACGAACTTGGTATTTTGCAGTTGGGTTTTTCAAATCATTATGGTGAAGGAACCATATGTTTGCAAAGTTGCGTGCTCTCCTTGATGGGGTGCGATTTTGCGTGGAGCTCGGGTATACACAAGTACAATTAGAATCTGATTCTCAGGGACCGGTGCAATGGATCAATCAGGGGCGATGCTCTCTTTGAGGTTTTTGGGATGAACTTAAGCTTTTGCTGCAACAGATTTCTCTTTCTTTTGAACACGTCTATCGTGAAGCAAATTCTATAGCAGATCATCTGGCAAAATTAGGGACTAGCAGTGTGGAGCTAAAGATTATGGAAGCGAAAGATTTACCTTAGAAAGCTTGAGGTGTATATCGCCTAGACTTAGTTTCTTTTCCCTTCATACGTTTAAAATTTTTTTATTGAGAGTACTAAAGATTTTTGTTAAAATAATAATAATAATAAAAAAAAATAAAAAAAAATAGCTAGTGCATTTTCACTTATTTAAAAAAAAAAAATTGATTCACAAACAATGGTGCGACAACATGAATGGGCTAAAATACCCAATAGGAAATACGGTTGAGGACCATTAACTACAAGCCGAATGCGAATTTAGCGCAAAGGGAGTTCCTCAGACTATCTGGTCAATGTCTGGGGTTCATTACTTTAGCTACTTTTGTCTACGTGCCATTTGGGCAATTTCAAAACTTCATGGACCAATTTGATATTAAACAAAAAGTTGGTTTGCCAATGCGATCTCTGCCCTTTTTCAAACTGTCGTAGATGGTGACGAATAGAATTTTAATTTCTTTTTAGGGTGATTAGCACAAAAGGTCCTACATTTCAATGTTATTGGGCAAAACGTTCATACCATTTTTTTTTTTTTGACATTTTTGCCTTTATTTCAATGTTTCATTGTAAAAAACGTCGTTTGCTCCATTTTTTAATGTAAAATGATCAAAATACCCTCTCATTTAAATAAAAGAAAAAAAAGAATAAATTATAATCTTACTCCTGAATGTTTTAAAAAATGCAAATGAGTTTAAATAATATTAAAATGCCTAATAGCATAAAACATCCTTACGTTTGGCCTATAGTATGCAAAATGTTCCTACGTTTCAAATTGGTGGAAATGACGTTTTTCACAATGAAACGTGAAAATATGAATGAAAACGCAAAAAAAAAATAAAAAAAAATTGAAATGTAGGGACTTTTTCACAAGAAGTGTCAAACGTAGGGAATTTTTTGGCTATTATGCCTTATTAAATATTAAAAATAACAAAAAAAATTCTCTCTCTTTTCTTCTCCTCCAAATGAGACTACCACGTTAGAAGTGAAAAAACTCCGACCAATTATCATCCAAATCGCCGAACCTCCATACCGTTAAACCATCTTTTGATATTTTAAAACCATGAAGAGATGCACCCTAATGAGTATAGTTGATTGGTGTGTTGGAAATGACATGGGTCTCTCCTGAGCAGATAATGCCACCAGTATATGCATTCACGAATTGGGTATTCTAACTTGCAATTCAGAACAAATCTATTAGCATGAAGGTTTCAAGGTTGGACGTTGGATGGTATGTGTAGAGGGAAGTAAGGGCTCTTCAGTGGTAGGTGGTCCAACAGTTTGGGTGATAGTTTGCTGGAGTTTTTTGGCTTCTAAGATGGTTGACCCATTTGGAGAAGAAGAGAAGAGAAGACAGAGAGAGAGAGAGGTTTTTTTTTTTGGGTTATTTTTAATATATTAATAAGGCTTGATAGTAAAAAGAATCCCTACGTTTGAAACTTCTAGCTGAAAACGTCTATGCATTTCAATTTATTTATTTATTTATTATTATTATTATTTTTTTTTTTTTGCATTTTCATCCCTATTTTCACGATTCATTGCGGAAAAAGTCATTTTCACTAAGGGTTCGTTTGATTGGAAAGATAGAATTGAATTGCCTAGAAAACGAATTTTAAGGAATTGAATTACCTAGAATTATTTCACTGAGAATTGTAAATTATTGTGTTTGATTGGTATAATTTTCTACGTGAAAAATGTTGAAATAAAAGTATTTTTTGGTGTTCATTTGATTTTATTTTATATGAAAATTGTCAATTAAAGAGATATATTTTACTGGTATTGGGGATTAAATTTGTTTTCATTGCCAACAAAAAAAATTCAAGAAAGTCATCTATCTTTTGGTGTTCGTTTGATTTTGTTTTATATGAAAATTGTCATTTAAAGGGAAATATTTTTTTACAATAATTCTTAAAATTTGTTTTCATTGCCAACCAAAAAAAAAAAAAAAAAGTGCTACAGTACGTAGGAATCCCACCATATATGGTGGGAATTGGTTTTCCTTAAAAATCAAGAAAATTCCAAACTTCAAGACAACCTATAATTCGAATTCAATGGAAAAAAAAAATTGTATCAAACACCTAAAGTTGGAAAATTCAATTCCAATTTCATCTTTCAATTCCATTTCCACCATATCAAACACACCCTAATTTGAAATGTAGAGACGTTTTGTACTATTAGGTCTTTTAATAATTATTTGGACTCACTTGCACTTTTTAAAACATTTAGGAGTAAGATTGTAATTTATTATTATTATTATTTTTAAATGGGAGGGTATTTTGATCATATTATATTAAAAAATAAAAATGGTGAAACGACGTTTTCTGTAATAAAACATTGAAATAAGGGCGAAAATATCAAAAAATGAAAGGTGGGAACGTTTTTACAATAATATTGAAATGAACCTTTTGTGCTAATTACTTTTTTCTTTTTATTTTTTAATTTAGTTCAATATGTGCTAGGGGTACGGGACCGGAATTCATTAAATTAAAAGATGCCAATTATTGATTGACCAGTGTCCCTCACGATCTTTTTTCCTTTCTAAAATAAGTCAAATGGGCTACATTAAGTCCCGTTTGGTAGTAATTTTTCAACCAAAAAATTTATTTTTTGATCGTTATTTCACTATTTGAGCCATTATTTTTGACTTCGTCACTCATAGGTAGGACCTACATTTATCTCTAACGATCAAAAAATCAATTATCATAATTACTACTGAACATGTCCTTAATTTTATTGTGATTGTGTTCAACTCTAACAAATTTAGCAAGTCATGGAGTTTGGAGAGTCTCATACAAATGTGAATTGTTCGTATTAAAATAATTAAAATAAAAAACTGTGGTAGTCTTGTTTGAGAGAGAGAGAACTACAAGATTGAGATACAAACCATTTCTTTTCCCCTCTTCATTTCTATTCTTCTCTTTAGAAAGGCATAAAACAATCATAATACCGATAATTCAGTACAGATCAGTGCCCAATTGATTAGCTATGAACTTGATATAGGCTTTCTTTTTTTTCTTTTTTTTTTTTAAGCTATGAACTTGATATAGGCTTTCTTTTTTTTCTTTTTTTTTTTTAAGCTATGAACTTGATATAGGCTTTCTTTTCTTTTTTTTTTTTTTTTTTTTTTTTTTATTTTTTTTTTGTTTTTTTTTTTTTTTTTTTTTTTTTTTTTTTTTTTTATGGTGTTTGAGAAGTTAAAAGGAGATTTTGAGATGTAAAAGTTTCTTTTGGGTTCGTTTAATTAATTTTATGAAAGTGTTTTTTCTAATTAACATTTATTTATTTATTATTTTTTAAGAAGATGTTGGTCTGATGTAGAATTCTTTAAATACACTTTGGACTAGGAAGTTCTTATAGAAATTAGTTTCCAAATAAAAATTAAGGTGATCTTTTCAAAAACTCTTTTATAAGAAATAAAAGTAAAAGTAAAAATTATGCTAAATGAGCTCATTGTTACGTTAATTCAGTCTAACTTCAAAAATAGAATTACAATTTTAAAATAAAAATAACTTCACTAAAAAGATAAAAATGAGACTGTCAAAGAGTATATATGACCTTTTACGTGACAAACTCTCAAATGGGAAATTTAGTTGAACTTAGGTTACGTTTGGCATACCATATACAGATTCTCATATTCGTAGATTTTTGTTTCTGTTTGAGTCCTATCATCTAAAAGTTCATTTTTTTAAGGCTTATTTTTAGTCACATTATTTCAATAAAATAATTTTAAACATAAGTCAAAAAAAATTATTTTGTTGTAATTTGGTATTTAGTTTTTATAAATATGACGGCAATATGTGCTAACTACGGATGGTTGATGATAAGAATTCGATAAAAAAAGTTGGTGATTAAAAGTGCTTTAATGAGTAAAGATCAGTGATTTTGAGTGCAATGTAATATGGTGTATGGATTTCATTCTCATATTACCTAGAACTGCAAAAGATCATGATTCCATTTTCGTGTTAGTCAATAGGTTCTCTAAGATGTCACACTTATTTCTGTGTTCCAAATCTTCTGATGCTTCCCATATTGCTAATTTGTTCTTCAAAAAAGTTAGTTTTCATGGGCTTCCGATCACTATTTATCTAATCGAGATGCTAAATTTGTTAGTTACTTTTGGAAGGCATCGTGAAAATTGTCTGGGACGACGCTTAAGTGTTCATTATCTGCTTTCCACCCCCAAACTGGTTGTCAAACTGAAGTTGTGAATCGTAATTTAGGTAATCTATTTCATTGCTTGATTAAGGATAAATCGGATAATTGGAATCTTGTGATATACTTCATTGATTTTGCCTATAATAATTATGTTAGTCGGTCTATCAATTATAGCCGCTTCAAGATCGTTCAATGTTTTCCTCACATCAACCTCTTAATTTTGTTCCTTTGCCTACCGATTTTTGTCCGGCTACCTCCGCTCAAGCTTTTTCTTATCATATTTGTAATTTGCACGATAAGATTAAACATGAAATTTCTTAAGTAATAAGCATTATAAACTATCGGCTGATTCTCACAATAGGCATAAAGAATTTAATATTGATTATATCATAGTAAGACTTGCACCTGAACAATTTCCTAAACATGCTGTCAAGAAACTTTGTGCTAGATCCCTTGGACCTTTCCCCATTATTAAACAACTTGGAACTAATGCTTATCTCCTTGAGTTATCATCGCATTTAAATATCAGTCATGTTTTCAATATAGCATATTTGTATCATTTTTCTAGTTTGTTAGAAGAATTGTCCGACTAGCGATGCTACATGAATTATTTAAGATGAGTTTCCATCAGTTGGATGACAAGTTTGGATCATACCTCGTCAGAGTCAAGTTCTTTTCAACTGCAGGGGAATGATACAACTTGAAAGTGATTTCCTTTATTAGTTGTGTTTTTATAAAGATGTCAATTGATTGTAACAAGATAGACTTGAATATTGAAATAAACTACAATCTCCCTCATTTTGTCCTTTCTCTTCTTGATTGGTCTTTTACTGCTTGCATTCGTCATCACTTTAACTCTTCTTTGATTGGCAACATTTATCCTTAATGATGATTTTCTTATGAAAAAAAAAAAAAATGAAAGAAAGAAAGAAAGAAAAACACTCAATGCTAACGCACTTCAAAACTAGAGACAAGTATATAGTGTAATTTTGTAATTTTTTTTCTATTGCTTATTCAAAAATACGATGGCAAATTAATCTTTTTGTTATCTCTTAACAGAAGCTTTGGATAGAAATAATCATTCGAGACAATATGTGCTAATCAGTTGAAAGAGAATAATAAAAATGTGATGAAAAAAGTTGAACATGAGTATATAATGAGTAAATGTGCCGATCCTTTCATGCAATTTAACTATGGTGCATCTAGAACTATATGTGGTATGAATGTATGTAACCTATAATTGTCAATATAATTTTTCCCTATTACTTCTCTTTTTACTGAATTTACCTATATACCCATAAATCTGTTTCCTCCGATTTATTTAAAAAGAAATTCTACCTCAATTTTAAAAGTTCACAAAGGTGAGGGACTTCCCTGTAATTTTTCGTTTTCCGCAGTTACTAAACGGCTAAAGCACTGAATACGAAGTGTTTCTTCCCTCACACTGCCAGTGTCCTCAACAAATCCATCTTCTTCCACACTTGGGTTTGCTATGTATATATGCAGATCTTCGTATAACCTTTTTGTACATAGACATACATTCTCATTAAAATTGGGGGAAAAAAAGAGAAGAATTTTCAATGCATGCAAGTAGAGAGAAAATCATGAGCGAAAAGAGTCCGAATTTTAGTAAAATTTTAACAGAATTAAAGGAAGAAGAAGTGGAGTTCGAGCAGCGAGAACAAAAAGAAGAAGGGGAAATCACTGGTTCAGACGACGAAGAGTTTGACTACCCATCGGTATTTCGGTTTCGGCCGAACCGAATCGTTTCCTCCCCTGCGGTATCTCTTCGCCTATTGTCTCTCATTTATCGCATTCTACTGCACAGATTAAGATTATCATCTGATCTGAAGAGATTTAAGAAATAGATTAATTGCTTTGTGTCTGATTATTCCAAAAAGCGGGGGAAATTTTAAAGGGCTTTAAAAATAAAAATCTGAAAACAACTTGGGAGAAATTATTATGTTTGATTAAGGTAAAAATGTAAGTTCGAAATAAGTATTGTTTCTAGTTAAAGTTAAAAATAAAAAAATAAAAATAAAAATGCTTAGGACAAGGAGAATACTCTGGGGTTTCTTATTGTTAATTTAATAAACTGTGTGTATGTTGAGTTCAATCAGGGAGAAGAAAGAGAAGAAGGAGAGATTATTTCCAGTTCAGAAGATGAAGATTATGTCTATCCATCAGTATTTCGGGTCGAGCCAAACCGAATTGACTCTTCCATTGCGGTATCTCTTTGCCTATTGTCTCTTATCTGTGGTATTCTAGTGCATGAATTAAGATGATAATCTGATCTGAAGAGATATCTAAGAATTAACAATTACTTTGTGTTTGGTTATTCTATTTTTATGTCCAAAAAATAGGGAATTTTGGGAAGAGCTGTAAAAACAAAAATCTAAAAATAACATTTTAACTGAATTATTTTTTAAAAGAAATTGGTCAAATATAGCTTGTTCCCTGCAAGCCCTAGCAGTGTTGATGCACTTGAATGTGTGAAAGAGGTGTATGTGTTCAATTAAGTTTGAAAAGTCAACTTATTTTAACTGAAAGAGATAGGATTCTTTTTCTTTTTCTTTTTTTTTTCTGAAAAAAAAAATTAATTTTCAGTTAAAAATATAAAAAGAAAAACCAACTTAGGAGACAACTTTTTAAAACTTTTCAAAACCTTTTAATTATTTTTAAGGCTTAACCATCAGTTGCAGTGATGGTTAATTTGATTTTTGATCAGAAATGCACTAATTTTGTTCTCTCTGTTTCTGTGAAAATGGACTAAATTTAGCATGCTTACACAAGGAGAAAATTTTGGGGCTTCTTATTGGAAAACTTAATACATTCGCGTATCAATTTTGGTGAAATATTCATTATTGTGGTGTTGTAACCCAAGGAGAAATGAATACAAGCATATGTGCTTTCTTGATTAATCCTATCATGTTAAAATAAATGTTTATACTGATGAACGGCTTTTGGTGATGAAGAGGAGGTTTCAATGTCGTGAATAAAATGATGATTATAACATCAAGGAGGTAAGGGGCAAGTTGCTTTTCATTTTGCTTACCCAAATTGTAGGCGTATATAGAAAATTGTATGAAGTTTTTCAAATTTTTATGCATAAAAGTACATTCAATTTTTATCCTTGAATTTATTAGTCTTAAAGGGATATAAGCTGAGAAAGCTCAGATTTGGCTTCAATTCCCTAAGCAAGGCGAACGGTGGAATTTGGAAGTCTAAATTGTGAATTTTGATTTCTTGATGATTTCATGCGTTTGATATTATTGGAGCCAGAACATATTATTTGCATTCTGCTGAATTAGATTTGTGAATTGCATATTTTAGAATGTTCAGTCAGCATAATAATTAGTTGGTTCCAACTATTCATTGTTTGCATATTGATGAGGATTACGTTTTTAATTATTTTTTATTTAGTGTTTCTTATTAATAAATTTGGATTTTAATTCCTTTTATTTCGAATTAGTTTTGAATATTAGGGCTTTTAATTTTTATATTATCTTTTAGTTTCAATAATTATCTAGATCTTAGTAATTATCTAGATTCTAATTATTACTTTAAATGAGTTTTTCAATCTCTTAATTCTCGATGTTTGATATTTGAAATCAATGAGTCTAAATTCTCTATTTTCATGTGCGAATCAAAGTGTTTTTGATCCTGTAGTTTTTTGGCATTCTTAGGAATTAACAGAAATTGGAAGGTAATCGTGTTATAGTATTTGTTTGGAATATCAAGAATTTTGTATTGTAGTTTGATTTTCACCAAAAAGTTTCGTTGATTCCAAACTAATACCACAATACACTCGTCTTTTTGTCTCCATTGATTTCTAAGAATACTAGAAATCCAGGCGTCAAAAACTCTTTTATTCGCTCATGAATATAGAGAATTTGGACCGGATGATTTTAAATATCAAATACAGAGAATTTAAATTATTGGAAAACTCCAGAGTTTATAATATTTATTCCAAAAATCACTTATTGCCATGATGAACAATCTAGATAATTACAAAAATCTTAGATAATTACTAAAATTTAGATAATGGTTAAAACTAAATTATAATGATGAAAATTAAAAGTCCTATATTGCAAAATAAACGAAATTATAACTAAAATATATTCAATAAAGAAATACTAATTAAAAACTCAATTTTTATCACATGCCTTTTGCTATCATAGTTATGTACAATTTTGTGATGAATAAGCGTTGCGTCAATGTGAGGTCTAAACTTACCTGAATGAAATCAGATTATAACTTTCTTTGACTGATGTGGAGTATTGAAAATATCGCTTTCTATACAGGCATTTCACTTGGATTTCAGAAGCTCTAAAAGGTAAGTGACCTCGTGTGTCGATAACTTTTAGATTTTGGATCACGCTATTAGAACTATGACTTTTAGGAGATTAGAAGGGAAGAAAACTTATTTAATTGTCTGCCTTTATTATACTCATAAACAGGACAAAAAAGATGGAAATGATGGACAATGTTGATGGGAACTTCCAAGTTAACTATTCTTCAGTAATGAAGCGATCAAAAGAGGTTCAAGCAAATCTGGACCCCAAATTCCCTAGCTTCTTCAAGTTAATGCTGCGTTTTTCTCAAGAATTTTGGCTTGTAAGTGTGTAAACATCAATAAAATACACAGATTACCAAGTGAGGCTTAATTTACTTCCTCTTCTTCCATGACAGCGTATTCCTTCACATTTCTGCAAAATGCACATGCCAAAGCATGACGAAACAATTTGTTTGGAAGATGAAACTGGAGAAACATATGAAACGAGCTACTTTGCAGTTACAATGGAACTAAGTTCTGGTTGGAGAGGATTTTGCATTCGGCACAACTTGCTTAAAGGAGACGTTGTTGTTTTCCATTTGGTGGCGTTTTGCAAATTTAAGGTGATAATAATTTTGATTCATAAAAATAAATAAATAAATAAATTTGGACACATCTGTGAAACTCTGGGAAATTACTATTTTTTTGAACTTGTGAGCTGGAAGGAAGAGAAGTGTGTTTCAGTGGTAGGCTCCTGTACTACTGTTACAGAAATTTGGTACAATATTTTGTCACAGAGTAACTTTTCGAAAGGCATAACTTGCATCAAAATGTTGATGTATCCAAGTCAGATAAGGTAAAATAGAAATAACAGCTTTAATTAAGATAAATGAAACACTAAAATTGCTTGTCGTTCTATATAACAGAAGTCAATCAAACAGAGTTTTGATACATGAAATTTAAGAGAGAGGTTTAACTCATACATTGAATTTTCTATCTTGATTTGCTTCCATAGAATTAGGAAAAGAAACTGATTGAAATTAAGAATACAGGTCATTTGGGAATTTATGATCACTCGGCACTCTTTGGATATTCTTTTTGAATTTATGTTTGTCAGATTTGTCATGTTTTCATCAAGTCATTTTCCAGGTATACATTGTGAGGGCAAGCACTTAACACAAGGTTGATGGAACTATTGGCAATTCAAATCTAGATGCTAATACTAACGAAAGAGACCTTGGTAAGCCTACTTTAATTTTTGTCCTCTCTCATCTCTGACCCTCTAAATGGGCCCTCTGATATCTTTATTCATGTTTTTTGATTCTCTTGATCATTCAAAAATATCAAAAAATGGGATTACGTGATGAAAAATGCAATACAACATGTGCTAATGTGGTAAAAATTTCTCATTCCTCTTACACTGTAGAGAATGATCAAATTAAAACTTTGACAAAAGTAGAGTTCGAAAGTGGTGAGGAACTCCCTTCCAGAAATGCAGATGCTGGGTTTTAAAGGTTGTTTATTGATTTTGATGAGTTCAACGTTGCAGTTAATGGCATCAGTGTAGACTCTATGCTTACCAAAGATATGCTTAAGAAGTATTATGAGCTTTGCTTCACTTGGGACTCTTACCTTCATAATCTTCTTCTTAAGAGCATCAACTGTATATGAGCAACTGGATCAATTTTAGAGACAATAATAATTGCTGATTAAGAGGGTATAAGCTTTCAACCTCCAGTGATGATTTTGCAATGTGGGACAATATGCATTCTCAGTTGAGCTATCTTATGAGTATTGTTGTAGAGAGAAGAGAGACATCTGAATCAGAGGAGGTATGCTGAAGCTAAATTTGAGCTCGACTCTGTGGAGGAGGAGATATTCGTACTCTAAAACCAAAGCTATGGGAGCTTAAACAAGCAAGAAGGAAGCTTGATATTTACATGGATGTTCTGAAGGCGGAATCTCATAGACGTGAGCAGATGTTTGAAGAAGAAGCTAGTAGCCGATGGTTGTGGAGCAAAAACCTTTTAGGATGTTTGTTAGTACAATAGTTAGGTGCTTTCGTGTAGTTCTACTGCAATTTGATAGAAATGCAGCAAGAAATATAACAATTTGTACCTTTTGGAATCCTTTAAAAGAATGGTTGTATCGACTTCATTATTCTGTTAAAGAAAACTAGGCCATTGGTCATGTGCACTTTCACCACTGTTTCTCAACCTAAGATCATGTAGTAATATAATCTGTAATTTTTTTTCTTGACAGTATTATTTATCTCTAACTTTTCAATTTTGGAGTATAGTAAGTTGTTAGTTATTACTCTTTCCATCCTGTAAAGACAGAAGAACTACTTTCTTTTTTTCATCTGTCCCAAATTATGAGTCACTTTCCTTATTGTGAGTATAGTTGATTTTTTTTAGTATTTTAGTACATTCCTATATAATGTGTTTTATTATTAATAAATATAAACTATTTATATTTAAATCATTATTTTATATAGAATTATATTATAAAAAAATATATTTTTAATTATATTAATTATATATTTTTTAATATGTGTGAAAATGGAAAAAAACCTTTCTTTGAGACGGAGTGAGCAGTAAATGGATTCCATCTACTTTCGTGTTAAAGAGCACGCTTTTTAATCACTAACGCTGGCTGTTCATTAATGGAGAGGTGGGTGGGAGTGGGGGATTATTTTTAAAAAAGAATTCTCCGCACTTTTGTGTGTGGTCCGAAATAGGGTCTTTACAACTAGCACAATTCTTTTTTAATACATTAAGATAAAAATCTGAATACAAACAAAAGAAAATAATTCATAGATTAAGACGTTTGCAATTCTCAAATTTTCTTTTTCTTTTTTCCTTTCCTTTTTTCTGGTCTCCATTTTGATCCTTGACTTTCAATCAATGAATACATTCTATTTCTATGCCAATTTGTCTTTAAATATTATGCTAATTTATCTCAAAAATAAGACAAATATTTTATCGAAATTTTGTGTTTATATTTATTTGATTACTTAAAAATGCAAAACGCATACAAGTTTTTTTTTTTATAGTTTCTTAACAATTTTTTTTCTAAAACAAGTTGTCTAAGAGACACGATTCTAAAATAATTATTCTCCTTGTACAACCCGAATACTCATAGGAGGGGGATCCATAATTTTTTTATTCAGCATAGCCCCCCTCTCATGTGTCTAATTATCAATCAAGGTTGTCAGCCTCGGTTGTATACATAGCACAAGTGATTCTAAAAAGCACGTCTGGGTGTGAACCTGTACTCAATTAGATTTTAAATTTCGCCTAGGCTTACAAGCTTGACTTTTAGAAAACTCATGTGATACTTGATATACATTCCTAAGCTTAGTGACCAAGTAGTAAAGTGTGAGAAAGTTTAGTGACCAGTCGAGTCAAACGATCAATCCACCTACTCTGTTGATGTATAGCATTGTTGATGTGCGTGTAGACTGTTCTTCTTCTTCCTATTAGTTTTCCAGTTTTTTCTGCATAAAAAAATGACTGCAAGTGCAGAGAGAATTAGGCAGAATACCCAGAAATGGGGGTCGGTTCAAGCGGCTTGAACCCCCGTTAGAAGATTCGCTGCCAATTTAAGATTTGCTCTGCATATAAGGTTTAAATTGATGTAACGTCCCCCATAAAGCCATTTGATGTGACTTATCAACTTTATGTCAATTCAACTCGGGGAAACAAACTGTCCGCCCACTCTACAAGCAAGTAGTTAAACAAGAGGTGGAGAAAGAAAGAGAAGAAGAATCTGCAGTACTCATTTCAGAAAACAATGAAGTAAAACAAGAAGAAGTGGATTTTGAGCAACAAAAACACAGAGAAGACGAATCGGAACTATCCACTTCAGAAAGTGAAGATGATGTGAACATCTCTCAGTTTTCAAAGTCCAAAGGGAAGCAAATTGATTGCTCCTCTGTGGTATCTCTCTGTCTATTGTGTATTATGGCATTCTTGTTCATGGTTTAATATTATTTATTATCATTGGAAGAGACTTTAAGAAGTAGATAATTACTGTCTGATTATTCTATTTTAATGGCCAAAAGGAATTTTTTGATGTAGAAGTTAGTAATATTGTAATATTATGTGACAATGAGGTAATGTTTGGGATGTAGATTAGATAGTTCTTCAGAGCGATATCAAGGAACAAAAAGAATTTAAATTATAATTTATTATACCTGGTACATTGTACAAAACAAATGGGAACTTGGTAATTTAATGAAGTAGCAAAACAAATTTTAGTGAAACGTCCAACCCCTCTTTACATCTGCCATTGGGTGGTGCAAACAGAGACGAAATGCTTCTATTCATTATTGTCAAATGGACATATACTATTATATAAAGGGTTTGATGTAGATTTTTTTTGAGAATATATATTGTGAAAAGTGATTTATTTTTGCAATGTGGGATTAAAAAAGCAAAGAATCTGTACCTGACATTGGCTGAATTGTTTGTTTATTATTGGCAGTATGTCATAGGCCAATGAAAGGACTTTGGGGGTGAAGAGGAAGTTTCAATGTCTTGATTATGACACTAAGGTTTTGCTGTTCTTATTGTTTATCCAAATTCTAGATCTTTCCAAATGTGAAATTAAAGAAACCAGCGTTAAAAAAACAAAAAACAAAAAAAAATGGAATAGTAGGAAATCTTTCCAAAAAATGATTCTCGAGTGTATACAGAATTTCATTCTAGTTCTTAGTGAATAACTTGAACTGTTTCAAGCAGAGTGGTTTGGTTCCAATCATTTCTAACAGTCTTTAAGGTAATGCAGCAGATTTTATGGTTTCTGTACCTTTTGCGAACCATTGTTATATGTATAATTATGTGCTGAACAGCCAATAGGCATTGCTCTAGTGGGAGTCTAAACATGCCATCTATGAAATTAGACTGAAAAGTTTCTTGGTTTATGTAAAGGATAATTGACAGAATTTCTTTTGATATATTCTACAGGAAGTTCGGTTGAACTCTAGGAGCCCTAAAAGGTAAGTGAATTCATGTAGTGACAAATTTTGGTATTTGAGAAAAGCAAGTAGTAATTTGATTCTGGATAGAATTGTGATGAGAACCAAGACTCAGGTGAACTAGAAGCAAATTGATCTCATAATCTAGTTTCGGTTTTATCATAAAACAGCAAACGAAAGATGGAAAGTGTTGATGGAAACTCTGGAGATACCTATTCTTTTGCAATGAAACGAGCAAAAGAGGTTCGAGCAAAACTGGACCCCAGATTTCCTAGCTTCTTAAAGTTAATGCTGCGTTCTCATGTTTCTGGAGGATTTTGGCTTGTGAGTGTTTTTAAATATCAGCAAAATACACATTTTACCTAGCAACTAAATTCGTGTGATCCTCTTTGTGGGCAGCATATTCCTTCGTCTTTCTGCAAATTGCATATGCCAAAGCATGATCAAACAATTGTTTTGGAGGATGAAACTGGCAAAGCATATGAAGTAAAATACCTTGCTGACAAAATGGCACTAAGTGCTGGTTGGAAAGGATTTTCCATTCAGCACAACTTGCTTGAGGGTGACGTTATCGTTTTTCATTTCATGCCGTTCAACAAGATTAAGGTAATGACATTATGTTAAGTGAACGATGTTTATGGTCAAATTTATGATGTCTCCATGTCTTCGCATCCAGGTGTACATAGTGAGAGCAAGCAGTTCAGGTGAGATTATTGATGGAGCCCTCTGCAATTCAAATCTAAACGCTAATGCAGGAGAAAGAGATCTTGGTAAGCTGAGCTTTAATTTTTGCCTTTGGTATTGTATATGAGCCATGCACCGTTTGATGTCTTTAGTATTATTCTTGGTGCTCTTCATCATTTAATTTTTCACAAAAAGGATCATGCGGTGGAAAGAACAATACAAGATGTGCTAGTGGAGAAGAAAAGTTTCATTCTTCCTATTTTACAGGTGGTAGAGACGAGTCTAAGAATGGTGAGGATTCCTCGGGCAAAAATACGGATGGTGTCTTTGAAGGATCTTTCGTTGATTTTCAAGAGTTCCACGTCACAGTTAATAATGTTATTATAGACTCCATGCTTACTGAAGATGTGCGAAGGAACTATTATGAGCTTTGCCTCGCTCGGAGCTCATATCTTCATGATCTCCTTAAGAGCGACAACAATATGTTAGCAGCTGGAATAATTACAGAGACAACAAAAATTGCTAATAATATTAGAGAGTGTAAGCTTTCAACCTCTAATGATGATTTTGCAATGTGGGACAAGACATTAGAAGGATTTGAAGTTTTGGGCATGGATGTAAGATTTTTGCGTTCACGGTTAAGCTATCTTGTAAACATTGCTTCAAAAATGAGAGAGACACCACGATTGAAAAGGTATGCGGAAGCTAGGCTTGAGCGAGACTGCAGAGAAGAAGAGATTCAGATTCTGAAATCGAGACTACAAGAGATTAAACAAGCAAAAATGAAGCTCGATAACGACATAGCCGTTCTGAAGGTAGAGGTCGGCAGTTTTGAGCTCATATTTGAAGAAGAAGCTAATAGATCATGGTCATAAGATACATCACCATGAGAACTTTTTATGATATGTGTACAGTGTCAGTTTTCTAAACCATTAGTTAGGTGCTTTCATGAAGTTCTGATGGCCTGATGGTTAATGGCTTAATATGGCGGCAGATATTAAAATTAATATGCCTTTTGCAATCTTAGAAAGAATGAATATGAATGGTTGGTTATATCCTTGTTATTATCCTGTTAAAAATAGCTTGGATTCAAGATGTTTGTACTCTGAAACTACAATTCCTTGTAGTTTTTTATGTAAACGTGGCTCCTCCATGTTATGATAATTACAATTGACCCCTTGAGTTTACTTTTCGTACAGTTTTTACACCAAATTCTAAAAGTCAATAACTACTGGTGATGTGAGATAATATTAGCTTCGAGATTACTATTTCTTCGTCGTTCATCTCTCTCGGCACCTGAGATTGACTAGAAACGTCAAAAGGACCTGGTGCCTATCTAAACGGAATAATTGTACTGAGTTAGGCTCTCTATATTCAAATGAGCAATTGAGTTATATGGTTGAAATGGTAAGTATGTCCAATTGAAGAGGAGAAAACAAATGACATGGCATCATAATGAGACTAGAAAAATGGAACACATACATATTGATTAGCACAATGAAGTACTAAACTGCAAAACATTTGTACAAACATAAACAGTCAACACAAATATCACTTGTCCCAGATGAAGGATGACAATCAACAAATCCCGGGCTGTACCTCAGCATGTTTCTGTGAATCCAGGAAAAAAAAATGACAAAAATCTTCTTCATCTTCACCAGTTGGATCCTGTAACAAAAATCAAATCCACATACAAACATGTACCATAATGAATTAATAAAGAATGATTTATGTAGCTGATCCAAAAATGATTAAGAACAAGAAAAAGATCCCGAGTTTACCTTTCAAGTTGGCATAAATCTGCTTATGGAATAGATCATCAGTTCTTTCTATGTTTTTATCAGCTTTCTTAGGTACAATGGGAGATCTCTTTAGACCTAATCTCTCCCTCCAGAGGCTTGTACCTTTAGCTAATCTTGGTGATGCATTTTCATAATCATTATCATCGTCGCCAACAAGGAGTTCATCTCTAAGGGTGGTGGTTTTAGTGCAGTTTTCCTTCAAGGGCAACAATTTGCCCTTAGAGAAAAGTTCGTCTGCAGAAATCATGGTATTATTAGAGATAGAAAACTCGAAATCAGACGAGACAGGGGCTTCTCTATAGCTGTTTCCTTGCTTCATCACTGGTTGAGGATCAGCAAAATCATTGGAGAATGAGATTCTTGGATTGTAGAGGCCTTGTTGTTGTTCATTCTTGACCAGGTTTAAGCAGGCCATGGAAGAGTATTCTCTTTCTGCTCAACTGTAGACTGCACTTGCAATGTGCTAACCCTTTATATAGAAGATTCTTCAACCAGTTTACGAGATGGATTATCCGAGTTTGAAGTATGGTCAAAAGTTCGAGTAATAAAAATCAGACAGTGACCACAAGCCTATCAAGTATCCTACTAGACAGAGGATGACACGAAATATAACTCGAGCATACCAAATTCATTTTCGAGGTTCATTTATTTTTGTATGTTTATTGGTATAAAGGTCAGAACGAACTCCGGCCTCATGTAGACTCGTTTTTTTCGAGAACTTGATATGTGCACATTTTTATAAATAAATGACCATAAGACTTAAAAGTCGAAATCTTAATTTGCTTTGAGTCTATCTTGAATCATCTTATCTAAAAATTAAATTATGTATTCAACGGAGCCTGCTTGTTTTATGTGCATGTTGTGTAGAAAAGTTGAGTTGAAAATAAAGTTAGGCAAAGTGGACAGCATTATTAGGTTCTTTTTAAATTATGGAATATATATAATAATCTTATTCAGATCTGTCTTACAGTGAGTCATGCAGGATACTGAATCCTTCTTTTTTCATTTTTCTTTAATTTTTTATGCTTTTCTTTCCCATTTTATGAATTTAAAATTAGAAAAAATTGTTAATAATTTGTTAGTCTAATTGGCGGACATGTGAGTCCTACATTTAAATAAGTCAAAAATGTCTCTTATGTTCCACCTAGTACATGTTTTCCCTTGATTTTGACACGAACAGATTCATCTCATGCAAAAATGCAAATGGATAAGATAACCAGTTCTTCATGGATTAAAATTTGATTACATCAAGGCAAAGTATTTCCATTTTGATATTTTCACTTGGTTGATCGTTCAAGTGCTCTTTACAACATAAAAACAATCTAGATACGATTGTATAATAACAAGTTAAAAGTTCGTTTGACATGACTCTTGAAAAATCAAAAGTTACTTCTGAATTAAGAAGCTACTATTAAGTGCACACCGTTTGGTTGTAATTTTTCACCCCAAAAAATCAATTTTTTGATCATTATTTCACTATTTTAGTCATCATTTTTTATTTCTTCTCTCACAAGTAAGACTCACTTTTCTCTCTAACAGTAAAAAAAATCAAATATGTTTGAATAATATACTGAAAGTGCTTTGTGTAGCTCGAAGAGCTTTTAGAGAAAATTTAAGGTAACTTTTTTCAAAAATAAAATTCTACAAAAAATAAAAATGTAAGTCGGATCCTAAACCTTCATTCTAATGAATTGAAATCAACTAATCTATCACACATGAAACATGGTAATTAAATGCGGACGTGTGAATATAGCATGAATCTAGGTTTCAAACTTGAGCTGTGGACTTGAAGTTTATATCTAATATAAATGGCAAGATCCAAAGTTGAAGTTGTGAAATGAACTCAAAAGAGTATAAATTTAGTTAAGCCATTACTCTGTCCAACTGTAAGTGATAACATCGATAAAGCTCCAGCTTATATCCAATAAATTTTATCTTTATTTTATTGTCTATTTAACAAGATGTAAAACCAAGGCTTTATCTAGCATAACCAAGTGAAATAAAAAGTTATAACAACATAATAGATCGAGAGACAAAAGAAACTGATAGCAATTTGGGAAACTCAACAAACTATTAGAAATAAACTAGTCGACTTTATATTCATCATGATAAAACTTAAACCTTGTACAAAAGTTATTTTTTGAGATCATTTTTCTTCTTCTTATTTTCAACCAAACACTCCTAAAATTCATTTTCACGTTTCCCACAACTTAGCTTTACTAACTACACATTCTTCAAATAAATAACTCTCACACAAGCACCACGTAACTTATTGGTGTAGCTTGAATGGTGTTCAATACACAACTCGATAGAGGCGAAAAGTGGAGCAAGTCGCTCACCGACTCAACTCGCATCCGAGATGAGCTCTAGGACAAGCTGAGCAACAACACACTCGTGCAAGCCAACTCGCTGGTGGCTCACAAGTCGCTTATGTTTTTGGCTCATATTAAGGCCTTGTTTGAGCCCCATATTTTGGGAAAAATAAGTTGTAGAATATTGATTTATTTATTTTTTTGGAAAATGTGTAATTAAAAATAGGAAAAAAATTAAAATATGTAATTAAATATGAATTTTGGGAAAAATAGATCTCAAACATAAGTTATAAAAGATTGACAAGCCACGAGCCAGCTCAATTAGGCTCTCCTCACCAAACGGCAAGCTCGACGATAAGCAACTTAGCAATTTGGCTCCAACCATTTAACGTCCTACATTTGGATAACCTTAAAACTTTCAATGCCTCTATCACTTGCAATGAATTCAATTAGTACTAAACGAGATTGAATAATTGTTCAGACAAAAAAAATCTCATTTAATATTTTCCAATCTTGTATTTAAATAGATCTCAAGAATAATAATAATATAATTTAATAACAGTGTTGAGTCAAAATAGGCTGCGTTTTTTCTTTTTCAAAAATATAAATTTCCTTTTACTATTGCCACATGGTAACTCGCTGCTTTATGTTTTTTGCCCAAAAGACCTATCCCAGGTAATTCATTTCTGGTAGATTAAGTCATTGTAAAGTAATTTACAGTTCACTTGCTACTTTTTTGGACACTGCAAAAATCCTAGAATTGATAAAAAGTAGCAAAAGGTAATGATGCACAACATGGGAAGCAAAAGTGAACATCAACGGTATAAAGCTGCTCTAACAAGGAAATGAAAACAGGATTTAAATCCAGTATCAACAGTATAAAGCTACTCTGACGAAAAATGAAAACAGGGTTTAAATCGCAGCATCTGATTGGGTACTTGTTTTATTTTTCAAAAAATTGGGCAACCAAATGTTGACACGTGGCACCTGGATTTAATCTCTGTCCCCATTCCCTATTTTTGTAGCAAAACTCACATCAATATTATATAAACAGAGACGACGACGACTTTGTTCTTAACAAATCGAGATCAAAAATTAAACTTTTTGGTCAATATGTTTGGTATTCATTAAAAGATTGTTAGTTTTAATCTCTCTAATCAAGAATATCATTATATGTAGATATATACACGAATGCATGCCCGGCCAAACTTGCATTTCCACAGTAAGAAATTTGGGAGGCTTTAGTCCACCTCCACACACAGCTTTTGCATGAATGAAAGACAGCAAAATTTTGACATTTCGAAACAAGTTTAACTTCTCGATTATGCATTCGAGATGGTCAACAAAATATTCGCGCATTAGAGACAAAGAATACTAAAAACTTGACTCACTAAAAAATCCCTTGGTTCAAATAGACGTTTTTAGGACAATATTAAATAGTATAATGAACGAACCTTAGTCTGTTTTTTCAAGCACCATCCACTTTTGGTTTTTACTCTAGTTTTATACACAAGTGCACTTTATTACAACTCAGAGTGCATAGAGTTTTCTCTGTAAACAATTCCCATGGCACATGTGCAGTTAGAATCCTTCCCTTTGAAGTCAGACCGACACTCAATAAACAAGGATAGTTTAAGTATTGGATTTTGACTAATCAACGTGAATAGAGAAAGAGATTCCACCTTCCATGGTTGTCCACAACCTATCCTCACATGGTTAAATCCTCTAGTTAAATGGATTCCCAACAGGTGGCTGATTCCCCCATATTCAAACTCTTGAAAAAAAGAAGAAAAAAGTTCTGGAAAAAAGAGAAGCAAATGGACAACATTTCATCAAGTGGAAAGGAATTTGGTCTAACAGCATTTTGCTCCTTTTGGTCTCCTGTCAAGTGAACAATCTTTTGTCTTTTTTCTCTCCTATTCAATTTTTTTCCTCATTTATATCTTATTTATGTTCTCTAGCACAATTTACGATGTCAAATCAAGAAATATTTAATACTAATGAAGGTACATTGTATAATGCCTATATTCGCCATTAGATATATTGAATCAGACAAATAAGAATCTAAGAATAACAGAGTTCATAAACATATTGCACCACCCACAAGACTCCAAGAAAAATATGAAAAAAGGGATTAAAAAAGCATTAAATTAGAACACTATCAAGTACCAACTTAAAATGAAGTGTAAAAAGATTTAAGCTTTCGGAAAGAAAATGTGTTAATCAAAGAATAACATTTATATGTAGACGAGAACGCATACGCACAAACATATATGTTAACATTCTCATCAATATAGAGGCATAAAATACATACCAATTATTGCAATCCTCTAACTCTCTTGAATCATCATGTCAACACCATTTGATTCTGCATTCCACCATTTGCCTGCAAAAAGCACTTCCACAACCAAGCAAACAGCGTTCTGATGCTATAAAGATTTCTTATAGCTAGTTATTTTTCCAAATTAAGCATCAATATCAACTACAATAACTTCTTCCTAATAATAATAAGAAATACATGCATATATCTTCCAGTTTAGCTTTTGTTATATTCGAGAAGTATAAAGCACAGAGTGATGCAAACATCACAAAAATCACAGCACAAATGAATTCCTTCATAGAGACTTCTTAATTTCACCAAGATAATTGGACGACAACCTTGATGATGAAAGGACCCAGATATCTATTTTAGGATTAAAATTAGTTGACTGTTATGTTGGCAAGATACAAATAGGTAGAGAGAGATCTAATCGTGTCAGCATCCTAGTGTGCTTCAGAATTTAATTGTGTGTATCCTTATAGCATTCATATCTACCAGTACGCGAATTTGATTGATGTAAACTAATTGCCCCAACATTATCAGTTAACATATACTGCTACGTAAATTATTACATTTGGAGTCTTGTATGTAGTGATGATTACAGATAAAGATGGTCAAACATGCTGAGCCATTTCAGCGATGAAATTAGAGAAATGAGAAAGAATGAATCAATCCATCCAAAATCTACTCAAAGTCATCATCGTCTACAAAAGCATGAGATAAATGTAGGGGGGGTGTTTGATTTCCGGGGGAGATTTTATTTGTCGGCATGACATGAGTTTTACCTCCTAAAGTTCTCATGAATTTTATGTGGGTCTTTTCTGGAGGTTTTAGATTAGATGAGCTCACTGCAGAATCTCTACTAGAGAACGATGGTAATGTTGCTTGATGCTGAGACAACAATGTTGCTTTTCCAAACATATTCTTTCTAAAACTGGGCAATTTTTTATGTCCTTCTACATCCTCTGTCTTGTCTTTTACAGCTGATTCTACAGGGACAAGCTTCCCATCTACTTGGTTTGTGAAAACAAATGAGACCTGCAGCAAAAAAAATAAAAAAATAAATAAATAGCACTTATGCTGCTTTCCACATCCGATTAGACACAAACAGCATGTTTGGCTAAGCTTAAGAAAAGCAGACGCTACTAAGTAACATTTTGTTTTCAAACAAGTTTGAAATTGTTAATATTTTCTTAAGTAGAAGAGTTGTTTTGAAAGTAACCACATTCTGATCATAATAATTAACTTACTCATTTCCAACTTGGACCAATAAAAATATTATTTGATTATAAGTTAACTCATAAGCAGACCTTTTAAACTTAGCCAAACACGTTCATAATGAACTTAACAGTTAATAGACCTACATATTTCCAAGGCTCAGTTCACAGTGTGATTGGTGCTATCATATTTATGAATACACAGTTATCAACATACAGATGGCCCCGAGAAAAAGCAAGAAAAAGACTTAGCCTCCTGTTGGGAAGAATTTATAAATGATTTATTTAAAAGAGAGAAATGAGTGGTGAATTAGTGGATAATGCTTGTGGGTCCGTTGGATTGTGTGGTTGAAAAATAAAGTTTGACAATATATAAATTATTTATAAATTTTGCCAAAAGGAAGCTTAGTTGAGGAGTAAAATCATGGAAGAAACCTCAGACAATCTAACTTCCCATGGCCATTAGTCCAGGTTTGACATATGTATCAATAGGCCTCCATTTTTGGCAAATTTATAAATGATAATAAATAGGAATAGTAGTGGGTCTTTTCAAATGCGGCAGTAGTTATGAAAGTGCATTTGAAATTAATGTTGAGTTTGACTGTATTTATAAACCATTTATAAATTTGTATCCATTGAAGGCTAAATGGTTCGTATTGATTATTGTAGAACCATGATCTTAAGTGAGACTCAAATTCTTAATTTTGTTCGATTGTTAATCGTATTAGGAATCAAAATTTTATAATGAAGCTGGCGTTATCAGATTATAAAAACAAGAATGGATCAGAAAATTCAACACAAATACGAAATGAATAGGCAATACATATTTTAGCAGAATCTATTGAATAATAGTTCTTATTAAGCCATAAGAATTGTCTAAGAGGATACTTATTAAGACAAGGTCATGTATTTAAAAGTTATAAAAATAAAAAATCAAAGAAAATAATAGGGAAAAAAACCTCAAGAATTCCTGGAAGCAAATTGAAAATAAAAATAGTATAGCATCAATACACAAACAACAAAATGATAAAATTAACAGCGCCAACACAAAATAACAAAGTTAATGAATTTCAGGTAAAATTTATTCTACCTTCAAGGCTTCAACAGTCAACAAACCAATGCATTCACTTTACAATCATAAACACAAAGAAATACTTGAAAAACAATGAGACTAATTGAAAATTTTAGAAATCTCTAACACTGGATGTTTTCGGGTCAACATAAGTTAAAGCATCTGTTAATTCATGAATAGTCTATGTGAAATCAGACTATATGATCAAGCATTGATATATCTTGTAATATGGAAGCAACAAATCCACTGTAGTGAATTTTTGTTTCTTGGCTTACCTCATCTCCTGCCGAAGCCTGAAATATGGTATCAGGTACAGTTGATGGAAAATAATGATGGCCCCAACTAGCTAAATCCTCTTCCTTTGGAGCACCGACCTTGAAAAAGAAATCTTGTAAATTGAACGTTCTTTACGCCTAAAATATCCTGATTCAATTACAGTTACGAACCTGTTTCTCTGAGCTTTTCAACTTATGCAAGCACCCAGTAATGCCTGCAAACCCACCTATATCATCTTTATCAGATTGGCAGCTCTGATTTGTGGATTCCGATTCAACAGTGCAATCTAGCACCATTTCATGTTGTTTGCAGCGATTGCAGAACATCTTTTCGTGAATTTCCGAACTACACAGAAATCATTGTTTAGTCTGAAGGAACATTTAATAGGTTTGAAATGATATTAGTAGAATTTGGAAGTAAAAGACTATAAGATTAAAATATTAGTGCTCTTAGAGTCATTTGACTCGCATCAGTTTCATATGTTAAGGTCACCATTAAATTATCCTGGCCTTCTAGTCCCGAAAACCACTAGTGGAACTTCATTAAATGTATTTTTAAGATGATCTAATAATAAAAGATGGTGGGAAAGGACTACGGACTTTGGGAGTTCTTTATCGGTATTGATCTATTACTATGTAATGCAGACGTTCGTCTTGTACACTATAACTAACACTGATAAATCATATTGTGTTGATTGATTGGCTGGTATTTGTGCATTGTTATTGACGACACTGTTCCATACATTTAACACTAATTTATGGTAGAAGTGTCTTCTTATAAGCAATAGGTGATTGACAGACAATAATTTCAATAAGGGCACACCTCACATTCTCGTGAAATGTGAACAGGTCACGTAAATCTTCTGTTGAAAAAAAGTTACCCTGCAATTAATTAGATATCCACATCATGCTCCCAGAACAGCCATTATAAACATGGTAAGAGGAAAACCAGCTGAAAAGTACCTTATCAGAATCGACATGCTCTTGCTGAATAACTTTTTGAAGTCCTTCCTTTGACATCTGACGCTGGTAGACCTGCAGAAAGTGCAGAATAATACAATCAGCATGAATAGAAATACAAAGAAAAGCACAAGCACGAGCACCAGCACCCAGAATTTGCTAATTTAAACCTTTTCTTCAATGGTTCCAGAACTCAAAAATCTATATATGTAGACCCTCTTCTTCTGTCCGTCCCTCCAGACTCTAGCTGCAGCCTGCAAAGTGTTGAGAAATTGTGCAAGTAGAGAATGCTCTTAATATTCATACAAAGAAAGTTCCCCTACTGAACGCATTCTTTTATCATTTAGCAAGTTTCCAAAGTAAAAGGGAAAATGCCTGTTTATCATTGGCTGGATTCCAATCAGGATCAAACAGCACCAGTCGATTTGCACCAATCAAGTTGAGGCCACAACCTCCAGCTTTACTACTCAAGAGAAATGCAAACTCATCCTGCAAGATAAATTAATGTAATACAATGAAGGCAGGCATACATATGGAAAAAGCAAGAATTACAATTGCAAAATCCACATACCTTTGAGGGATCATTTAAACGATTAACCAACTTTTGTCTTTTGTTGATTGCTGTAGATCCATCAAGTCTCAGAAAAGGATATCTTCGTTCACGACATAATTGAGCAAAAAGGTCCAATGTCTGATGAGAAGAGAATAAGTAAAAGCCAGAAAGGGGATTTACTGCAACTAAAAGCACAATATTCATAGCCAAGCATCCATGTACAGCAGTCAAAAGATTAGTAAAACCAGGAGGTGAATTCATGCTTCAGATCCTTCCCCCAGTCCAGCACATGAAGTACAGGAAGTATATATAAGGAAATGCTTACAAATAAAGGAACATACTATAGCATGTGAAGCTAAGTGCAAAACAATATAGTCCAACAGAAAACCCAACACAAAAGCCATGAGTGGAACAAGAGTGAAAGTTCTTTTCCTAAACGATCAGTTGATTGTTAAAGTATGAAACAATTTATTATCCTGTGGAAACATCAAATAGAACCAAGGCTTTGTTTAACCTCTCAAAGAGAAAGAATGCAGAACTGTGCTTGAAATACACTAGATTTTCGGTTTTAAAGAGATCTTAAAGGGATCCGTTATCAAATGATTCTATTACTAAAACACACTAAAGCAATTTGTTCATTGTTAGGTGTTTTCCTGTCCACTGACTGCAGAAAGAGATGCTGAATTACTGCTCAGTCAGCATTTCACAAAACATAAAAAATAAAAAACTTGTAATATAGAATATACTCATTTGCATAGCAAGTTGCTTAATCTCATTGCAGTAATATTAACTTGTCTCTAGGAAAAGAGTTATAAGTGAATTTGACCTAACCAAAATAACCACCATTCCTGAAACGTAATTATGAAATACAGTACTGCCTGGAGTTCCACATGGTGTCATCCAAGATATAACTGGAAAGAAATGAAATGCATAGCATCAGACCTGCGTGTAATTAGAAACAAGAACAATTCTATCATCTGTACTATTACGGAGTAGAGCAAGTAACCGTGCCAAGACATGCATTTTCCCTGATAATTCAACCCAAACCCCATCACCACCGGTCCATGATCCAGATCTAGCAGAACAAGAGAAGGATTTTATTATTCGATTTAGGTAAAACCCAAGTTCATAAGTAAACGCAATTTTAACAGTATAATTTACCTTCCAGAGAACATTTCTGAAGGGAAAAACCGCAGGCATTCCTCAAATCCAGATATTCCAGGACTCCCACTTTTTATTGTATCGTATATTAGCTTGAATTAGATATATCTTGCATGAGTAAACAATAATAGCTATAGCTTACAAAATAGAGAAATTAAAAGATAAGCAGTATGCATTCATCCAAATGAGAATGAAGGGGTTGAGATCAACAACAGAAATATAAACATGCAAAGTATGAAATGCTATGAATCAGACATGGAATATGCTAAAATCTATATTTGCAAGCACCAGTGAAAATCTATTAAGACTATTTTCATTATCAAGAATTCAGGATATAAGAGTCAAGACCTGCGCTTTTTAACTAGAAACTGCAGCATGAAATTTGTAGAACCAATTACTTCCAAGAAACCCAGAACCCAGCAGGTAAACTTTAGATTTCCGTCCTATTAAAAATTATATGAAGCTAGCTAGTATTATTTATAATCACTTGAAACGATAAAAGTTCAGACATCTCATAGTGATCAATATTCTTTCTTAAAAAGAAATTCAGCAGCAGAAGAAATCCTTCAGGGTATGGATTTGAACAAAAGTCAAAGACATGATTTCCAATGGCCTTTGTCATCCACTACTAGAAACTGAAATTTGGCTTTTACTGGAAATTACAGTTATCCAATCATAAATCTAATATCATATTAAAACAAACAAATGCACTCAGGTTTCAATACTGAAGCTGGAATCGATGGTAGCCATGGTTCTCAGGTGTATCAGGCTTTTTCTCAACATGGTACAAAAGAATTTAGAGGTTCTGCATAAATGCTTCCATGAAAATGGTAATCCAATGGCTGAAATAAAAAGGCAAACTGTTGTATCCATTATGGTTCACAATCATCTTATTCCATTTGCTCACTACGAAACTAATGACAATGTTTTGGCTGAATGACTTCTTCGTGAGGATTTTCTTCATTAACAAGTTCTTCATTAACAAGAAATATACGACACTAATTATGGCTAGATTCTAGTGATTACAATTATTGTGTTAGTCTATCCAAGGTAAGAATATTACACTGCATTTAGAAAACCTAATTACACACACACATATACACACTAATTATAGTAACATAATCTTTGCCGTTGATAACTAATGCATGAAATATCATGATTCCCAAAAAAGGGTTAAGAGTGAAGTTAGCATATCAAGAAGTTATAAAAGTGGATGACTCGGAGAAAAAAATGATAAAATCTAAACCACCATAAAAAAAATATATATATATATACATATATATACATATGTACATATATGTATATACGTGTATATACATATGTACAGATATGTATATACGTGTATATACATATGTACATGTATTATACATATATATGTATATACACATATACATATATATGTATACACATATACATATATATGTATATATATATATATAATCCCATTATCTAGACTGTTATACCTTTGGATGGTTGCAGAGTTTCTTAAGTGCTGTTATGTAAGCTAGAATTTTTGATTGCTTTGTTTCTTCAGTAATTGCGCGTTTAACCTGTGCTTGAGAGTAAAAGAAGTTTAAGTGGGTTGTTACAAGTTATCAACACAAAAAACCAGAAGCTAACAGCAACTGGCATAAGCAGTCAAGTAAAAAAGAAAGAAAATTTACATTTTTTGAATGTATAAAATGGCTGTACAGCTCTGATTGGAGAGTGGTCAATTTGCAACATATGACTTCCACTATCTGCAAGAGAGTAGCCATTGCATTACTTCAACTCTACAGAACATTTTTAAAATATGTACCAATAGGACTATCATTATTTAAATGTCATGTAACCAAATGTTTCAAATATTAACCTATCTTTTATATCTGTGCTCAATACTTAACAGCCAATACATAGCTCTAAGATACAAAGGTTGCATTTGCTCAACATTCTATTACACTTGAAGTGGGAAACGGGAAAAAAATCGCCAGATAGGTAAAATAAGACCAAGGAACCAAATGCCAGAACCTTGACAAACTAGTCCAGTTTTTCCTTCAGAGGCAGTATAGATATAAAAATCAATCTCCTACACTTCAGCCATAAGATAGAGTATGAAATGGAAGACAATTAGTTTCATGCACTGTATGCATGTAACATAACATGCCTTCATTCTGCAGATGCCAAACACACTAAAAAATTAATGTTTCTTCTTTTTAACCCATCAAGTATTCAGGTAAACAAGCTCACTTAAGTCCATGCATGTACTCAGCAGACACACGGGAAAAAGATAAGAATCTAAAGAAACAAACTTTAAATTCGCTATCTCGTCAATTAACTGTTCATAAGCTCAGAAGTACGAGCAATCCAACACAGTCAACTTCTGAGGTGGCTCAGTAAGGAAATATTATCTTCCAAATATTTTAAATAAAAAATACCTCCAAGTGACACAAGGATTTAACTAGCTATATGCCAAGAAGATATGTACATTTTGAGTTTTGTTTTAATTCAACGGCACCTCCAAAATCCAGAGGCTCTGAACAAATAAAACTATGCATGATTGGGGACAAACGTGAATAATGAAGTGAAACACAATATAAAAAAGTGTCCCCTTTGAGTCAAAGTATCAAAACATAATATTAATGATAACAAAATAAGGACCTAAACTGGGGAACAACAATTTTTTTTTTTTTTTGATAAGTAGTCAGATATTTTATTAATCATGGATAATACAGAGGAAGTGTATTATCAATTAATACAAAACAGAAACGTCATGAAATTGGACAACCAGTCTATGCGAGTAATAGCCACAACATTAAACCAAATATACAATGTCAGAAAATTGGGGAACAACAATAAGAATTCAAAAACCAAAGTAGTGACATAATTTACTTGATATAAAGATTTTGAGGCAAGCTTATGTGTTCATGTGTCACAAGTAAGGGTTCATCAATAAAAGTCATTTAGTTTGGAAAAAAAAAATATGTGTTAATGTGTCACACCCAATATAAAAGCAAACATTTGTTAACATATGCAAGAACAATATATGGATTCCATATAATTTTGATACCTTTGGTGGCAAGTGGTTTGATAATAGCGCATTAGTTCTCCTCAGTATAAACTGAAAAATAAGCATGCGAACACTTGTAAGAAGCTAGGGAAATTTAAATTTATTCAAAATCAGCTCTAACGAACATGATATTTCTAAATAAAGAAGATTGATTGTGATTCTACGGAACCTTGAACTCAGATCACCTTTAGAGAAAGCTAGATACGGGCATTTAGTCATTGCAAGAGAGTTACCTGATTTACTTTTGCACTGAGTTCTGCCGATCGTTCATCTCCTAGCTTCTTCTCTTCTTTGGAAGCTGTGGGTTCTCTACCACAAATAATTGGCATCTTCACTTGGGAGAGCAGATAATCCAGTTAGAATGGAATATGTGCTATATATACAACTGGGACAATTAGATATAATAGTGGAACTCTGTCTATTCCCAAGAAGAATCACGTCTGTTGACTTGTTAAATAGAAACTTCCAAGAAATTCATGCTCATTGCCAATAATTCCAAAAATTCAACCAGTTAGCTTACCTCATAGTAACGCCGGAAATAAACAGCATCACCCAAGACTCCTGGGTTTGTAAAATTAACCATGGCATAGAACTCTTCAAGATCATTCTGGATTCAAGGCAAAGTAGATTAAAGTATCGCCCAAGAAAGAAGAGTGAAAAATAATTAACACAAAACAATGAAAAATAATCACGCATAGGTTGTTCTCACTTGCATTGGAGTCCCCGACAAAAGTATGCGGCGCTTGCAGGTTAAAGCAGCTAATGCCTGGACCAAAAATTTATTTTAGTCATCTCAAATCTGTTCTCCCATTGTGGTCTCCAAGGAAATAAAATCAATTGAACAATAACTCAATATATCGTACTCGATTGGTCAGTGTCTGGTCATTTTTTAGCCTGTGAGCTTCATCACATATAAGAAGGTCACACGATCCACTTTGGTTGAATTTTGAAGAATGCATACGGAATGTCTCGTAGGAAACAATCAATACCTATGAGAGTGTCAGTTAAACATGTGCCCTCACCAAATAACCAGATAGTACCAGAATTTTACCTGTAAATGGCTCCGAGGACTTGTGAAATTATCAATGCCAGAGATAACATCGTCTCGAGTGCTTTCACATAAAGCAACAAGTTTCACCCTCTCCCCAACCCATTTCTTGATTTCAGCTTCCCAATTACCCACGAGACTGGTAGGAGTCACGATAATTGCTTTTTTAACCATTGGTTTCCCATCAAGTCCCCGGAAAAGAAGAGTATAAAGCAACGTGATTGATTGCAAAGTCTTCCCCAAACTGCAGAAAACAACCCAAGAATAATAAGAATCTAAAAAATTTGGCAGAAAATGAGTCTTGTGATCATAAAATAACGCAAAAGAACATAATCCAGAGAACTAGAGGTACTGTTTGTTTTACCCCATATCATCAGCCAAAATGCACCCATTAATGTTGTCAGAACTCAGTACACCTGAAACACAATCAAACATGAACTGCACCCCTTCTCTGCAAGTGAAAATCAAGTTCAGCCTTCCAATTAACTACATAATTAAATCACCAAATAATGGAATTTATCTATTTATGCAATAGTTTTCTCTTTGATTTAAAATCCTAACATTCTAACAGCTACCAAAACAGCCACAAATAAATCAAAAGTTGAGCAAGTGCTTTGCTGCATAACACCAAAAAATAAGAATTAACATCTGATAAAATACTCCTCTATCTACTCTGGTCAACTCATGCTGAAGAAAAACTTCAACGTGTATGTGAGACCTCAAGAATGTGACAGCCACAAAATGTATGTCCTTAATTATAAGGATGATTTCCCGACATGATATCACATTTATACATATTTACCTTCTAGTCTTCTACCTTACATGATTATTTAATGATGACCAGTGGTACCTCTGATGGGGCCGGAGGAACGTCACAAGCAAGGGATCCACAACTATAGACACAGACTCGCAGTCTCTCCCTTCTGGTTCTTCAGACTGCCACAATATCAGAGGCTCAATTCCTGGAGGTAAGCATATTTCCTCCTCTGACTCCTCTTGCTCGATAGTGTTAGAGATGTTGAACGTGTTTGTAATTGTGACCAAAGCAGGCCTTGATGAACCCCATGGCACAAATCTTTTACGAGCCCAAAGTCTGCGTGAGAGTTGGTCTTTGTTCTCAGTATATCCATTAGATGAAGGGGGCTTGAAGGGCTTTCTCAAACTAGCTGCTGCATCTTTCACTGAATACACTCGTGGAAACAGTGACTGCCTTTTCACTTCGAGGTTTCCCCTGATTCATTGCCATCAGAAAAAATAATGTGTTCACCACACAATACTATCGTGAACTATAAAAATATGATGATATTAGATCTCAATAGAGGATAAAATTCATATGTATAAAATAAATTGGTCTCTTCCCACACATTTATACAACAAACTGATAGATATAAATAGACTACATACAAATACAAAAGTTCCTATTGACAAACTAAAAGCATAATTCGAATTTGAGAAACTCTAGTTTGAATTGCAAAGAAATGCATCTAGAATTATTAAACTCAAGAGCAAGGACCTCACTCCTCAGTCAAAAAAATGATATGCGTCATCGTCTCTGAAATACACTGAATACATCAAACATATTTTACTAGATTCAACGAGCTGAAATGTAAGCAGAATGACAAAACCCGAGATTGGCGGGATTCAAGGACCTCACCAACAATTTAACAAAACCGGTATTTCACCTTGATTAATCAATCAGATCAATAGGATCGATGCAAATGTAGAGAAAATGTACCTCACTAGATCTGAAATATTTTGTGACTTCCAGGCATGGTTTCGCTGCAGAGCTGAACGTCGGGCATAGGGCTTTTCCCCTTCATCTTCATCGCATTCGGAACCATAGAATTCGGATTTAGCTTCAGAATTATAACCGTATTCGGCTTCTGATTCAGCTGAATCCAAGGATTCAGAATGCAACAGAGATTCATCTCCGTCTTCCATTTTAGTCCAGTCTAACGTTCACTTGCTCTTGCCGCTTGTTTTGTAGGAGATACACGAAAATGGACTTTCACAGTAGCAAATTTTCATGACCCATTAAATGAATTAATAAAAAGAAATTAAGTTTAAAAAAAAATTTACACTATTTACCTTTAGCTAGTGATTGTTTGAATTTTAATTTTCTAACCGACCGACCACAAAAGAAAATCGACGCACAATCGCCTAAAAATTGTCCGATCAATCACCGTCGTAGTGAGCTAAATCGACGACCACGCATCTACACCAGAAACAATACCGGTTAGTTTTCTCGCACAGTATGAGTTCCAGTTGAAAATTTATTAAATAATATTAGATTTATTAGATTTAATTAGATGAACATTCGGTTTAATTAGATCATGAGCATGAATAGTATTATATTGTAGACATGTTGAGATGAAAAAATGTGATATTTTTTGTAATTTTTGGACCTATAGCGTCGACAATGACGATTTTTGACCAGAATCGAAAAAGACATTGCTGTTAACAGTCGTGGGCCGACTGTTAACTCGGCCCATGACTGTTAACCGACTGTTAACAGTCGGCTCATTGACTGTTAACAGTCTAATTTTTTTAAAAAAATATATATATATATATATAATTTTTATTTGTTTTTTATAATTTTTGTAATTAATTTAATTTTTTATTTGATTAGTAATTATGTTATTTATTTATTTAATTTTTATAATTGTCTTTTATTTATATAATTTAATAATTGAATATTATCTTTAATTAACAATTTTGTGTCGTTTCTTTTTTTTATGAAATAATCTTTAATTTTATTTTTAAATTTATTTAAATAATATAAATATTCTTTACATTTTTTTAAAATGTATTTAATTTGAAATTTTTTGTTTGTAAATATATTTTTCAAATGATTATAAGATTAATTTTCTTTATAATTAATTAATTTTTATTTGATTAAATAATAATTATGTTATTTATTTGTCTTTTATTTATATAATTTAATAATTGAATATTATCTGAAATTAACAATTTATTTTGTTCCTTTTTTATGAAATAATCTTTGATTTTGTTTTCTAATTTATTTAAATAATATTATACTTTAATTTGTATCTAATTTTAATTTTTTTTCGTAAATATATTTTCTAAATGTAATATACAAGATTAATTTTCTTTATAATTTTAACTTGATTAAATAATAATTATGTTATTTATTTATTTAATTTTTATATTCTTTAATTATTTAAAATTTATTTAAATAATATTTATATTCTTTAAATTTTTTTGAAAACATAGTTAATCTTTAATTTTTAATTTTTTTGTGTTCTTTAAATATTAATAATTTCCTTTTATTGAAAATCTCATTAATTTGTATTTTAATTATTGAGAGAAGCAATAGGCTGTACGAGACATACTTCCAGGGACATGGGTCGGTGCTTCTACTCAACTTGATGGTCGCGATCAGGGGGTGCGACCAGATGCTAGATAGATTGAAGCTTGGGCTGGTCTACATCCTCGAGAGTGTGATGAGGTGTCATCACAAGAAAACTGTAATCGACATTTTTCATTTGCAAGTTTTTGACGACATCGATGCATTTAACAACTATCCATGGGATCAGAGATGCTACGAAGACACTGTACATGTCTTCACCAGAGCACACTCGAGGCCCAGGGGGTCGATGCATAAATACGATACATATGGATTGCCCTTAGCGGTGCAGGTAAATGTTTAATATAATCAAAGTTAAAATTTTAGTATATTACATTTGTGCATAATAAGTGTATGTGTTATAGATTTGGGTGTATGAAACAGTCCCTGTACTGGGGGCCGGCTTTGCGCAGCGAGGGGAGACACGCTCTCCTCAGATGCTTCATTGGAGATCATTGCGAGCGGAGGGATGTCCCACTGGGAAGCAATTATCGGCCTTTCTCGACGATCTTCAGGTAAGTATTATGCATTTGTGATTTATATTATATGTAGTTTAAAATTTTGTTTATATGATCGTTAAGTAGTTGAAATGTCAATATGTCAGCTTGAAGTCATACCTGAGTTGACACTGTCGATGGAAGAGGAGGCTCGGGGTCTTATGCGGGATTTAGGCGTTCCGCACACTCCAGACGAGGAGATGTCTTATCCGAGTTTGGACCGAGATTGGGTATGTAAATGAAATATAATTTATTAAATATCGTCGATGTATAAATTTATTGAATAATTTGTAATGTTATTTATGTAAGAGGGCGGTCCAGTTGATCCACGATCACCTCCGCCGAGGGTATCGCCACCACCATTGGCATCACCTCCGCCGAGAGTATCGTCCCCACCATTAGCATCACCTCCGTCGAGGGCATTGCCGCCGCCATTGGCATCACCTCTGTCCAGACACCTCCCCCGTGTGTCTCCGGCACACAGTGATGATTTGCATACCCGTTTGACTGGATTTATAGAGGAGGAGGTCGGCGCATTACGACGAGATTTGACGGAGAGGGTCGATGATCTGGGACGAGAGTTGACAGGGAGGGTCGACGATCTGGTAGGGAAGGTCAACTATCTGACAGGGAGGATCGACGATATGGGATGAGAGTTGACAGGGAGGGTTGACGATCTATCCCATGATGTTGGAATATTACAGTCTTCCGTTGTCGACTTCAGGATACAGTAGCGGCGCTTAGAGGAGATTTAGCCGGCAGACAATGGGAGGACAGAGGGGATGGCGGAGATCATGATCGAGAGGGTGACAGAGATGGTGATGGAGAGGGGGGTCACCCACATTTTTGGCGTGATGAGACATTGGAGTCATTGTCATTGTCTATGGAGGGGGTGGCCCCGACGGCAGGGGCGGAGGAGGTGGCCCAGGAGGTCGAGAGGACGCCCGGCGTGATTGAGGGTAAGAGACATGCTGTTGATGAGACGGAGCACGTGGTCAGCAAGAGGTTGAGAGTGCCGTCACAGTATGGTGTTTCCCCCTTCACGGCTGAGGCCAAGCGGAAGACACTCATCGATGGGACGCACCCGAATTTATTCAGGAAGGTGGACAATGCCAAGTGGAAAACGTTCAAGACAGAGTGGCGGAGAAGTATCCTCGAGTAAGTATTGTATGATTTTATTAAAGTACTGTACGCTAACTCGTCTACGTTTATTTTAACATTTCCCTGTTTTTTACAGAGTTAGCCGCACGATAGGTCAAAGGACAGTCTCGGACCCTTACAAGTGGTTCCACGATATCACCACTGCAGGAGCTTGGCTCGCCGACGATGTAAGTGAACTATTCATTTCGTGTATTTTATGTATACATTACTTTGTGTTTATTAAATGAATAACTCATACTTTTTTGGTGTTTCCTGCTGCAGCACATCGACCTGGCCATGGACTTGCTGCGAGATCGAGTTCAAAGACATCCAAAATCATTTGATGTCCATGGTCGAGTCATATTAAACACCGAGTTCTTGCGTGCCGTTACCATAGAGTATCAGTCGCTCGAACTTATGGGTAACGAGTACATGGTGCTAGAATATATGCTCGAGTGGGTGATAGGTCTGTCACCGAGTGTCAGGGAAAAATCATGAGAGGGTTGTACACATATGTACATTCCAACATGCATCAATAAACATTATATTACGCTGGAGGTCGTTTTTGCTGACTCGACTATATATGTGTACGACCCAGATCATTCATGTTTGACACAAGGCCAGTTGGAGCAAAACCTGGAGTCTGTGGCTGTAATTGTTCCTATGATGACCGGACGAGTGGGGATAAATGTACATGACAGATTACGGATTGTTCGGAACACAACAACAGCGCGACAGTCCGTAAGGTAAGTGTTTGAAATTTGTTGTTTTTATCTTTCAGATTTAGTTTTTACTTATACAGTACTGAATTGATTCATTCTTGTTCAATTGCAGCGGCGACTGCGGTATATTTGCCATTAAGTACGTCAAATTTTTAAGTATAGGGCATAAGGTTGATGGAATCAACCAGTCGGGGATACAGAACTGGAGAAAGAAGCTAGCATGTGATTTATTCGAATTTAATGCTAACCCGTAAATTTGTATTAAATATATGTAACATTTCAATTGTAAATTTAATTATTTTTTTGTGATTATGAAATAATTGTAAATTTGTGTTCAATGTATATAACATTCACATTGGAAATTTAATTATATTTTTTATTTTGTTATTTTACACGTAGGCTGAGTATGGAACTATTTTTTCATATGAATCATTATAAATACCATTTATCAAAAATAAATATTGAATATCGAAGATTTATAAAAAATAAATATTGAACAGTGTAAAGTAAAAGGAAATATTATTCATTTAACGTACCTGTCTAATTGTCATTTAGGGGAATTTGACTGGTACAAAATTATCGAGTATGCCCTACGGCTCTGCACCTGCCTACGCGGTCGAGGAAACTCTCTGGTAGATGGTATTCTAGATGTACTTGGACGTCCAGGACCACGCGGTTCAAATGCTAGTGGCAACAAATTATGAAATGTGAGAATGTGCTCGGGAACTTCCCATTCGGCTTCATTCGGCAGAGGAAATATAGTCTTAGCATATGCTGTTCTCCAACACTCAGTCGTATAATACAAAGAGCATAACGTTCTCGCTGCAAAGCCTCGATACATGGCCACCGCAACTGCACGCTCACATGGAAAACTCTCCAACTGAAATCTCGTACAATTACATGTGTTATCAGTTAAGTCCACCATATATACCGTATTACATGCACATTGCACGGAGAAGCGAAACTCATCTAGTGCTTCCACATTCAACTTCCTCGCAACCTCTGTCGCCTTAAACAGTTTCTCCTCTTGAACTGGGGCCAACACACTACTGCAACTCTGTAATGTCGCACGTCGGTCATGAAACCACTGTTGTAACTTGCTACGAATGTTCTCAATCATTGCGAGAATTGGTAACTCTCGATCCTTTTTAAACAATGCATTGAGAGACTCCGCGTTATTCAATGTCATCATGTTGTATTGACGTCCTGAAAAGTATCATCGTGCCCAATGTTCGATCCCCATCTTCGTCAGATACTCCAATGCCGGTAATGATTTACTTCCTATCTCGA